TGCCCGGGGAGGGGGGGCATGTTGAAGCTTCGATTTGATCGATACATTACGTAACTGTTCATGATTGTCAACTTTCGTAAGTTCATTAGGTCTGTTGTTTTTAGTTCAGTTTGGTATAAAAGTTTTATTTTTTGTTCGTGTAAATCAGTCGTTTAGTTGTAAGTATCTTAGTCATATGTTGTACTTTAAGATATAGTTTCTTGGAAAGTTTTCGGTTCGCGTTTGTTAATTCTGTATTTTTTTTTCTTTTCGTTTGTTGTAATTTTGTTCTTGTACGTAAAGTAAAAAGACGAATTCGAAACTGTACGTGAGTGTTGATTACACTGATACTGACCATACTTTCCTTTATTTAAAGATCTAAATGTTATGAAGCTCGTTATTTTAAGGCATTAAATGCTCACAAAAGTTATGAAGTTCGTTATTTTAAGGCATTAAATGCTCACAAATGGTTTGGCAATTATAAGTATCGGTTTGCAGTTGTTCGTCAGAACGAATTCTAATTGGAAAGAGTGTATGAATCCCAAATGCCAAATGGTTAACAGATAACAATTCTAATGCCATGCATTGACCCATCAGGAAAATCAGTTTACTGAACTAAGGGTTAAATCAATCTTTGATTTATAAATGAAAAAAAAGAATAAAGAAAAGAAACGATTTCCACCCTTAAAAAACAGTTATTTCGTGGGTAAACTACCGGATGCTACACGTCAAACAACGCGTCCGGCATCCGGCCTGAAGTGAAACCCCTGCATAAAGAGGCAAAATCAACTGATATTTGAGGAAGCTTCACAAGAAGAATTACAACGTCATTGCATACATGAAAACACAGGTCACTCAAAGAATAAAACCACTAAGAGCACACAATGTTTTCCTGAATTTAATTCGTTCTTTATTTTCTCAAAAGGATAAAAATTTACTATGATAAATTTCAAATACTCGTTTCAGTGAGCCAGTAGTTATTAACCATTACCAACAATCTTACATTTGAGGTAAGGACAAAAAAACAAACAAACAAACAAACAAACCAACCTCGTGCTGAGGGTGTTCTTTTTTTCCGCGGGCAAGACTGAAAAACGAGAAGACCCTTGGGACGAGGTTGAGAGCAGAATAATCACGTAAAGAAGTATTTTCAAGCGAGGTTACTCCCTTATTATTTAAGACATATACTAGGTACTAGGCGCAGTTGAGAAAAGGGTATGGCAACCGGTTTTTATGTAGTCACGCGACGCTCCTACGCCTGTTTTGGAAAATCGGTATTATGGGTATAGGAAGGAGGGTGTAAGAAGCATCTCGCTCGAGATCACACGCCCACAGCTTAATGGTTCATGAGTGCCTCTGGCTATATCCCCGTATTTTTTTTCTGTTTGCCGTTTTGAGGTCAGGCCTCACATTCTATAAGAAGCATGATCTTGGTTGTTCAGCCGCGTTTGCTTTATTTTGATTGATTTGGTAATCGTGTTGTTATTATTACTTCTTTATGAGATTGCTGCTTAAGTCATAGAAAAAAGTAATGTAATAAAAATGATGATGATGATGATGATTTAAACAAAACTACGCAAAGTGAAGAGCTGGAGTTAAAATAGTTGTTATTAGTTTTATGTCTTAAATCTACCCCTGACTTACTTCTCAGTTTGTTTGCTTTTTTAAAACATATCCGCTCAAAGCAAATGTGGTGCAGATCCATTTTTTTCGTCAGTGTGTAATGGAGTCGTTGAGGGGAAGGCCAAAATATAGAAAAAGCATAAAATCACCTCTAGAAAACCAGTTTTTCAGCTAAATTTTCGATTACTTGCTACACTACCTACAGAGCTAATTAAAGATCCAAACGCAAGCTGCCCAAGTCCTCGTACGTTGTTTGTAACATGTAGGCGAAAGGTCGTGGTTGACAATCGCGGCTTCTGTCACCCAGGGTAATCACATAGTAGAGGTGGAAGTAATTTTTTTGGTCTTATTAAACTTAGCAAGTGCGACAGGTCTTCCTGCAATAGTTTGAGGCGACTGTTCGATTGGAGCAATGTCCTATGTAAGACCACTGAATGCAGGTTTGATCAGGAAACTTGTTCTTGCAAACTAAAGTAAAATAATTATAAAATTATTACGACTATGTCATAGACGAAAATAATATAACTATTCACACAGCCATTTTTTGGCCGTGCGATAGGCTCGGGGTCACCTAACCTATCTTACGCCAAAATCAAGGGATAAAAGCCCAGAAGTACCATAGATTGTAAGAGCAGAGAACAACCACTGAACCACTAAGGGGTCTCTCAAGCTTAAGTTTAAGGTTTTGAACTCTAAACAATGCAACTTTATGGTTATATAAATAACGGGGGAAATTATATGTATAACAATCGAGAGAAGCCGTTGGATTGAACGCTTTGCGGACAATATATATGTTTCTTTCATACAAACTGTTATAATGTTGTAGACATTCCAACTCTAACAAAATCCTAGTCATTGATTTTGCTTTCTAGAGAATCTGGTTAACAATATCTTCTAGGCCACGTGACAGCGAACTGCAAATGGCCTATTGTAAAAATCGACCAAAGAGTTCGAGAGATCGTCATTTTGATTACATTTGGTGACCGCAAATTTTGACAAAGTGCAAAATTGCCGTTACAGATAGCGGTGGTACATGTTGGCTTCATAGATGGCCGGGTACCCTCTTTCTAAGAGCAGAAGTATAGGTATTTTACGAGCTAAGGTATAGAAGAGGGTTAGAAAACTGCCACTCAGGTAATCAAAAGGACCTAGAATGAACTAAACTGTGCCGCGCGAGTATCACTTGTAACGCAAGTGCTACTGTTCAATTAACTCTGGAGGGAGAAATTACTCCTGAAATACCACTGAGCGCTAGCCCTAGTGTAGTGATCCAGAAAGCCACGTTCAACAACACTCCGCAACAACGAGGCTGCACCTTTGTCAAAAAGGCAAAGGGCGAGTGCCAGCGCATTGCCGAGGTCGCGAGACGACTTAGCATGGCCCCAGGGGTAAAATGATAAAAGAATGTGTGGAAGTGGAATCAAAAAGTTGGGACAGTTGAAATAGAACAAACCTGTACATACACCACAGGTCTTCTTACAGAATGCCTTCACATTTCGGGATGAGCAGTGGCCAGACAATTGCAATCGTCTACACCCATTCAGTCTGTCCGTGCAAGCTAAAGAAAAAAGGAACATTCAGAACCGTAAAGTTGCACTACGAGCACGATATAAATACTAGGACAAGTTGTTGTCATTTTCTAATCTCTCGCAAAATCGCGCGGACGAGCAAGGGAAAAGAGTAAGAGTCTTCAGCGGTTGCTTAGCATTTTCTCAGAAAAATAAGAAATTCCGATAGGAACAAAAAATGATTCGTGTCATGAGCCTCTCTGTAGGTTGCAAAGGACGGAGTTGTTTTCGCCATGCGTTTTCCATCAAATTGTCGGTTTTCCAAGCGAAATCGCTCGCATACCAAAAATTGTTTTTCGTGGTAATGTACCAGACGAAAAGAAACAGGTTTAATTAGCAAAACAAAAAATTCTCAACGTGCAGCGCACTATTGGCAAATTTCTTTGCCGTCATTGCAGAATTAACGTTGTCAAACTTAAGGACACCCGATGGCCGCTTTAATCTCTAAAATCGTCGTTTCGTCAATAGCATTCGTCGCATATTCCATTCTGTCAGAAATACCTATGGAGAGTTTCGGTCCTTCCGTTTGCATGGTAAGTTTTTTAAACATGGGTTTCCGTTAGAGTCCAGGCATTTCTTTCTAATGTTTTTGGACTCTACAACTGCTTTGGCTGCACTTTGTAGGGAGTCTTCTCAAGGAAGGAATAAATTTAATCGTTGAATGTTTCAATAAATGAACAAATTTTGCATCCGGATATATGAACGTTTTGGATAGTATTTGACGGTTTTATTACATTTGTGCCTTCAACAATTCCTTAGGTCTGCATCACAAAATCGCCAAATATTGGGTTGGTTCAAAATTACAATTCGAATCTTGCTTCTATTTTTTTCTTAAAACACCGATCACGGGCTGTCATACATGCTAAATCGTTCATATCCTGTCCATGGTTAATATCCCGAATCTCGCTCACCTTTTCCTATGAAATCCGAAATCCTTGCCTTAAATAAGCTAAATTCTGCATCCCGAAAACCCTGTTTGGGTCCTCCCAGCTTACTTGAAATTTCAAGGTAATACTCATATTTAACTCTTTGGGGTAGCAACTATTTTCACAGGTTTGACTGCAAAGTCTTGGATGTTTATCAAGTGTACCCAAACGCAATTAGCCGGGACGGGTTTATCCAATAAAAGCCCAGACACAGAGAGCTAGGCTGCTTGAAGAAAGAGTAGCAGCCGTTTAACCATCTTACTGGTGGAAACATAGGAGAAAATAAATTTATCACCAATGACAAATTCAGCATATAACATTTACCAGGGCAATTTTGTCTGTTGCATGTTCTCATTTGTTCAGCTCGTCCTCTACAGTATCGCCTTCCGTTCGCCGGCGGCGGGTTAGTACAATAACGTGAGCGTCGCTGATTTCCTCTACCGCATGTCCGAGAACAGGCAGACCAGGAGCTCCAATGTGTGTACCCACCATTGACTGGAAATCCTAAAACTGATAACGCACGTATCTTGTAAACTAAAACATATAACTCTTATCATGATTCAAATTACTTTTCTAAAGTTTTGATGCATGTAAATTGCATACACACAATGCTCAGCTTTGTCCACATCTTTAAACCGCTCCAACCCCCGTCTGTCAGTTTCTGACAGATCAATAATTTGCCTTTGCCTTTTGACTGCAAAATCATGGATGTTTATCAAGTGTACCCAACCGCAATTAGCCGGTAGCGATTTGTCTAGTAAAAGCCCGACACCGAGAACTAGGCTGCTTGAAGATAGACGCTCATCCGTTTAACCATTGGCTGAAACGTACAAGGAATATATTTGTCACCAGTGACAATGCAGCATATAATATTTACCAGGGCAATTTTGTCTTTTGCATGTTCTCATTTGTTCAGCTGGTCCTCTGCAGTCTCGCCCTCCGTCTGCCGGCGGTGGATTAGTACAATAACGTGAGCGTCGCTGATTTCCTCCAGCGCATGTCCGAGAACAGGCAGACCAGGAGCTCCAGGGTGTGTACTCACCATCGACTGGAAATCCTAAAACAGATAACGCAAGTAAAGAGAAATCTTGTCAATCTACTTTTCCGAAGTTTCGATTATTGTATACGCTGCATGTAACTTGCATACATACAATGCTCAGTTTTGTCCACGTCTTTCGAGCGATCAATAATTTGCCTTTGTCTTTGACATAGAAAGATAAAATATCTGATCTGCTCGGTACTGAAAAACATTTTCTAACTGCTCCGAAATGATTGTTTTTTGAACAAGATCATTTAATCATGCGAAAAATTTACCGGTTTCTGGACACGTAGGGTTTATGCAAGCTTTCGTCTCCTCGCTTTCCCCAGCACATGGTTCACCTCCATTTGCAGGCGGGGGATTTGTGCAAGTGCGAAAACGCTGTTGAGTCCCATTGTTACAAGTCACGCTGCACAGTGACCAACGGGTCCATGGGGAATGACCTCCATCAACTAAGAGAAGGAATGAAAATGTTATACCTTCCAATCCAACTCAGAGGCTTTTCCGCTTGGATGAAAACTAACTGCCTAACTGGGTTGCGAATAAAACTCGTTTGCACGTGATCAAGACGTATACCTTGAGACCGATGGAAATTTATATGAGCTAGTTGCTCGAGGCCAATGTTTTAGGGTCCCAGGGAATCAAGACACTGGTTTTAGTCCTACCTCTACCAAGGTTGGCTTGTTTAGTGCTTAAAGTGCGCTTGACTGGGGGACTGGGAAAGAAGGAATTACCTTTCCTTTACGTAAGCTTTTGTCAGAGCTCCTGTCAACGAAGTGAATACTACATGAACGAAACCGCTTAAATCGTCGAGGACAAAATCATGAAAATGTGGCTACTACTTTTGTCGCTGACTCTACCTTTGAATGTACATACCCGGTGGACAACGGTTTAAGGCACATCTCTGTGACTGTACATACGCTCCAAAACACTGTCTTCCTCCATATGCAGGACGAGGATTGGTACATGTGCGTGAACGACGTTGAAGTCCTCCACCGCATGTTACGCTGCACCGGCTCCAAGAACGCCAAGGCGAAAAGCCTCCGTGAACTGACAAGAGGCAAAACGTGAGTTAGCATTTTTATTATTGGTAGTTTCCTGCAGTTCACGTTACGTACTTTTCAGGAGAAAAGTGAATCTGTACAAAAAAAAAAATTACCATTTAACTATATCTATTTGTTAAACGTTAGACTATTTTTTATAACAAATATAGTTCAGTACAAATAATGTTCAGTGATCAACTGATTAATAGACTCTATTTTTCCCTCCGGGAAAGGTGCCTATTGACTTTTGTTGTTCGCAAATTTAGCGAAGTTGAAGGAGACACAGAAAAACAACATATCCTCTGCATATCCGGCAAGAGTATAAGGGCAGTTAGTGAAACATAAGAGGTTAGTTTACCTGGGCACCTATATGTGTTGCATCTTCTTCCTTCTCTCGCATTTCCACTGCAGTCTCTTCCGTCATTTCGCGGCCTGGGATTGTTGCAATAGCGATGGCGATACTGGAGCCCTCCTTCACATGAGCGGCTACAGCGACCCCAGTAGCTCCATTGCGAGTAACCTCCGTGAATGGGAATATCTAACGAAAATTATAGACACATTAGGCTAAATTAAATCTATTTCAAACAACTTAAAACAAGGCTGAGCCAAACGCAGTAAATGCAACTTTTTCTTTTCCTGTTTGGTAACGCGCCTGCAAGCTCCCTATTTCAGAAGTAATTTCTTAAATAGCTTGGATTTTTTTTCTGCAGTAACGCTCTCGCACTGGTTATTTCGAATTGAAGTCACATGACATCTAACAAAATTATTTCCCGCAAAAACGTTCTCTTAGCGGGCAACAAAATCCATGACGTCATAGGGTAACTGCTCACTGTTAACCACTAATGATGATCAAAAAGGCCCAATTATAATTACATATTATTATTAATTATTATTATTACTATCTGCCCCCATCCCCCGGCAGATGTTACTAAAATGTCAGCATCAATTGGTTGCTAAGCCCTCTCCTAAGCAGACTAATCGTTATTGACTAAGAGTGTGGTTAAGATAACTGGATATTTCCGAGGTTCTTTTTTTTTGTTTTATGGACCGAGATGTAGTCGAGGAGTTGAAACAGAAAAAAAAGAAAGAGATCAATACCCAGTATCTTGCCGAAAAAGCCAGGTTATTATATGGTCAAATTAGATTTTTTTTCTTGCGGGACCAATGCGGAAAATTCCTAGAGGTACAGATAGGCCCATATTGCCTGCTCTGGTAGCCAATCAGAACACAGGATTTGCTTCAACACAATTGATATTTAGTCATTTTTGTTTTAAACTTTCGTTTATATTAGGACTATTTTTTTAAATTACGCTTTTTAACAGACAGAACATCATCTTTAAGGTTATTCACCATTGTTTTTTTTTTTTGGAAACACTAAATAAAACTTTCACAAACTTAGTGTTGTTTTGAGTGGAGTTTGAAATGTGCTTACCTTTTTCGCGTTCGCGGATGTTACTTATTGCTTCCCTTTTCATCTTTCTGTTAACGTGCTTGTTGCCTTGGAGGGGATCCTCGCTGGTTCCAAATAGGATTATCTTTAAACCAAATACTCGACCTGGTAAAACGTACCATAACGGAGCCCATTAAAAACGTCATCATACTGCAGCATAAGGAAGCCAAAGCGATCAAGATTTAAAGTCGACAGCAATGCGTGTGAAAATCGGGACTAAGAGTAATACCTCAATATCCTCATAATAGACTCAGAGTAGTGCGAAAAGACAAAATTTGGGGATTGTTTTGGCTTACACAATGTTAGTAAAGGAAAAACTGACTCAGATTTGGTAGTGGTAATGAAAACTAAAACCTGAGCCCCCTTTCTCCCCTCCGAATTATTTATTGTTCACTTTTTTTTTTCTGGGGAGGGATGGATCCAATTTTAGTTTTCAAATCTGAAACGGCGGGGGTTAATTTATGACAGTGTAATTATTTTTTACCAATTTTCTTTTCAGTGCAAGTGCGCTGCGGCTTTTAGAATCCTGCTGGTAATATAAAGACGATTTTTTTTACTCTCTTTTGGCATGTGTCACTTACCTGCTCCAAGGTTGCTCCAAGGCCTTGCGCTTCGTATGGTAAAATTCCAGTTTCCAAAAGGCTTTTCTCCCCAGTAATGTAGACTTGTAACTCGCCAGTCTGTCAGGTTTTTGCGGCCCGTTAAGACGTCTATCTTACGCGAGTAAAGAAGTTTGGACCGAGTTCCGCTAGGAGATGTTGAGAACATCTCCAGATAACCACGTCGGGGAAATAGTAGATTGACTTCTGCCTGCATATGTTCCAAATACTGGATGTTGCAATTTTCCTGCTTCAAAGATAAGGTAAGACGTAAATCTCCACGCCAAGGAATAACCAACCTAGAGGAACTAAAAAAAATTAAACAACTTGATGAATACCAGTAAATATTTGAACAAATGAGTACATAAAATTTATATTTGGTAAATGCTTAATTACAGTCGAATCTCGTCAATCTCTCAAAAGAATCTAAGATTACATTCTAGATTACCTGGATTCGTAATAAAAAAAAAAAAGGATGAGTCCAGATGCTCTTTTAAGATGGTGTTGTTTTTCGAATAATCCAACAAGCGACCACAGATTCAAAACACCAGAATTTTGCCAGAGTCAAAGCCTTGTAATTGGAACCTCTCGTAAGCTACCGCGAACATTTTTTGGGGTGACGGTTTTATAATTTTTCCATTGTTATTAAACTCTTGTTAGCGACCGCTTTACACGTGACATGGTCTGCTCCCTCCATTTGCTGGTAATGTACTGCACTACTCATTAACATACGAAAAACTTTTAAGTGACAACATGGAACTATATTACACCAAGGGAACCCCGAAATAGCATGCAATGAATTCTCGTCTAAAAAAATAGTCTTGTTGTGACCTCTCCTTTTTCTCCTACGTTGTTCAGTTGACTCTCCTACCGTATTTGTTCGATTAACCACCGCTGGGTGCTTATTAAATTACTTATTAAGTTAACTTTTCACCATTTTCAGCAAGAGAAGAAAGTTTATTTCGCAACAAACAATAAATGGTAAAAACAAAACGCAAAGATGTAACAAAGTAATGTTTCTGTAAAATACTCTGAATAAACTCCGTCATCGGGGAAGTCTCTTATTAGTACTTATTTAATTATTTGGGTGGGAGGGAGAAGGGGGTGGGGTGAGGGTGGGCCCTTATTCGAGGCTGGGCGCCTTCTAATTTTTTTTGCCTTTAGGATGAGCGTTTATTCGAATAAATACGGTAATTAAGCGACCACCAAATCTTTGTATTTTGGGTGATCCGCTTTACGGAAGGTTCGACTGTATTCACCAAAAGTATAGAAACGTAAAATTTGTTTCTAGATGCAATCAACCATGAAGACTGTAACCTTAGAAGTAACCCGGCCAAATGTAATGCGGATAATTACCTGAAATTTGTAGCGTTTAGCTGAACTTCACAGGTCAGCTGCTGAGGCACGGTTCGCCACTTCTTAGCGTATGCAATCATTTTTCTGGCATCCATCAATCCAAACCCGAAGTCACTACTCACTGAAATATAAACGAAAACAAGAAATAACATCCAGTAAGAGAGTTTAGGGGTTTTAGTTTCGTCAGGACAGGGATTTTAATAGTAGAGACAAGGACAGGAAGCGAAGAGGGCTTATTCTTTGCTTCAATATGTATGGCAAACTTAAACCTACTTCAGCAAAGAAAATTAAGGGCGTCCCAATGACTGTGTTCTGTAGTTAAAATACGCAGAACTTTGTGCGGGACCAATGCAATGTTACATTCTTCTTAATTACTAATTTCCACTAGATGTTTAGATTTTACAATGCAACTTAAGTTAAAACAAATGATGTTGAGATTTCATTTCTTCTATTCTTTTTCCAGAATATGGTCAATCGAAAATGCTCCAAGAAGAAGCATTTTAAACATCATATAAATAACATAAAAATACAAACAAAAAAAACCTCAATTACCTAAAAGACCAGCTGAGTTACGATTCCAGGAAGGTTTGTCACGCCTCCAGCGGGTTTCGTGGTTTGCAGACGTTATAGGCTTGGCAGCTCTAACAATTATGTGTTGAACATCACGCCATGTTAACTTCGGGCTAAAATTAATTAAAAGTACGTAATAAATCAAAGGGAAAATCTGGCTATTGTTAAATCTAGTGAAAAAAGTAAGCTCGAGGTATTTTAAAAATGGGAAGGGGTAACACATATCACTGACCCTAAAAATTTGAAGAGCGAATACAAGTGACTCTGCGACAGTGCAAGTGCTGCATTCAAAAGATTCATCAACACAAAAGCGATAACCAATTAAGCGGGAAAAAATTTTAAACAAAGTCGGATAAGAATTATACTGAAGCTCAAACAAGTGACAATTCCTGTTGTTGTTGTTGTTGTTGTTGTTGTTGTGGCATTGCTATCCAATTTCTGGTGTACTTAATTCAAATTCATTTCCTTTTCAGTTAAGTATTACAGTGTTTGAGAGATGACAACACCACTAAAAACCTTGTGAAGACAAAAATACAAGACCTTTCCGGCTAAAACCTGTTTATACAGAAAAAGAAAGTCTATGAGTATTAATCTTACTTCGCCTGAAGTACCAAAGCAATGATACCAGAGCCCATTGCGGCTGTAGCAGAAGTACCCGGAAATATTTCCGTGCAACCACTGGAACCCTGGGTTGTTACCTACAGATGAATGCAAGAAATAAATAGAACACGAAGACTAAATAATTAGGTAATTAGGCGCTACTTGCACTCCTCCCCCGTAGCACTTAGGGGGGCTTTCAAACCCTGGGCAAAGCAAAAACGACCAAATCCTTTCCACTTATAAAACAAACGTTGCTTAGAACAAATTTTTCCACATTATGCTTTAAATAAATCTCACCATAGGAGGCACAATATTTCCAAAAGGAAACATGTCCTGTCCGTATGTAACAGCCATGATAGATGCACATCGCTCAGTGTAATGTGGTAGTGAACCATCCCAATTTACAGCTGAAATAGCTATGGTGTGGATACTATTCACGTAGCCATTGAATGCGCAGCTGTCACCAGAAATTCCACCATTTCCCGCAGAAAATACGAAGATTGACCCCTTTCCATTACGACCCTGAAAAATAATTGAGAAAAAAACTGAAACTGCAGGGACAGAAAATCGACAACACATGTTTTAATCAGTAGCAAGCGACAGATGGCTTAATAGATGCTAGCGCAGAATATTTTCCTGCCGAGTTCCACAATAAAGCAGCCTCCCACTGCACGCAGGCGTTTTTAGGAGAGCTCAGTTTTCCTCCTTAAGTTGTTTTTTGTGGGGAGGAACGAAATGCAAGCTCCCGTAAAAACGCGTGGGTGAGTGGCTAACAAGAAAGAGATAAACACTACTCAAGGGAGTAATATACTGTAAATGGATACATTCTAGAACAAAACATCGTGGTTTCAGTTACATTTCAGTTTTAGTCGATCTCAAAGGAATCTTTAAGGAAAGAAAAAGTTTACTGACTAGCACTAATTTAGGGAGAGCCCAAGTGTTAAACTGCAAACGGCCCGAGGCCTAAGCGATTCTGGTTCTCCTTACAATTTTTGTTAATATGCTTTCTTTAAAAAAGGCTGTGGAGTTTAGTTGATAGTGTTCAAACACGAGGAGTGGCATGTTATTTTCTTGCAAATTTATTGCAGAATCGCTTTAAAAACTTTTTTAAAAAAATCTCTGCATTCTTCCAATAATCTTTAAGTCTGGATTTGTTTGACCAATAACATTTGGACATAAAATTCGGCCCTGTAATAATAATAACAATTCTTATCATTTATATTGCGCTTAAGGTATCATCCACCCTCAAGCACCCTCCTCGCGTTATGATCAAATGCGCAATTAAACAAATGGAGCATTAAAATTAATAAAATATTATATACAATATAAATGCCAGACAACTTAAAATTAGTCGAAGAGTAATGTAGATCAAAAAGGTTTTAAAAAGGGTAGGTAACTTAGTGATAAGCTACTTGAGCAACTACTTAGATATATAAATTATCTATGAGATTCAACCTAAAATACCGGTAAAGAAAATACTTACTAATTGCACTCCTTTCTCTAGAACCTCTTTTAGTGAAGGGCCAGGCCCTTTAACTTGCCATCCCATGTCCCCTGGTCCCCAGCTGTTTGAGTATATGTCAACAATGTCCCTCTGAAAGCTCAAAGCCTGGGCTTCTGATCGATCTGTTGAACGTCTGTTTCTGGTGTATATGCGAATACCTTGCCGAAGAAGTAAATAAATTCAGTATTACAACGGTTTCAAAGAATTTATCGCGTGGTTGCTTTTTGATCACTACTTGTTGTGATTTGTTGAAAAACCTAGCATACCCAGGACATCGTCACGCTGATATTCTTAGCGAGTATATTATAAGAATCTTACTCCAAGGGGGAAATTTAACGTGTTCTTATCTCAAGAAATGACTTACAAGTAGGTATAGCAACACGACCAACGAAGGCGTTTGTGAAAACGACTTAGAAACGTTCGCGAACTTATCTACACGTAACACGTAATCGAAACGAATATGGCGTAAGCGAACTGGACGTTAAAGAGAAAAGACTCGTGGGTGAAACGACCAGTTTCCCTTCCCTTACTGTGCTGGTGAAGAGGAACTAAGTTAGAAATTAGATATTAGGGTGTGCGCGAGGTTCATGTAGGTCTAAAAAGAAGGAGAATACACTTGACAGGAGCCATGTCTCATGACAAGTGCTGAAAATAGCATTTCGGAGCCTCCAAATTTGAAAATTTTCTGTTGGATGATCCCCCCCTACAAGGCTCGTGCCTTCGGCATTCGCAAAAATGCCCCCCCGTTACAAAAAACCTAGCTAAGGCCCTGGATATCTTAGTAAGTGACTGAGATATCTCAGATTTAAAAAGGAAAAGAAAGTACAAAAGACAGTCTAATTATGTCTGATGCAAATTAACTCAGGGAATCATATCTCAAGCCACTAAAAATGTGGTATGGATATTGAATAAATATTAGTGAGTTTACGCAACACTACCACAGAAAGAAGAGGGCGAGGCAAAAGGTTTGTGTGTCGCAAACGTGACTAGGTTATTACTTGTGTGTTTTATCGTGACCTTCACTTAACATTAATGTTCTCTGGTCTCAAGTTTTACAAAAAGATCTGTTTAAAGGAAGGTGAATTAGTTTGGCGAAAGTTTTTCAAACAAACTTGTCAAGTTTTTCATTCTAGGTTTCACTAAGCCAACTGCATTTTCGTCTAAGTCTACTCCTGAACCAGTTACCTGAAATCTGGGCATCATATGCCACTCCTTTACCACACGCACCGCTTTCTGCGCCAACGATGACCCCGGCACATTTTGTTCCATGGCTAGAGTTGGCAAATATAAAATGGAGGCTTAGCGCAATGTTATCTTATGATGATGGTCATAATGATTAATAAAAGTAATCCAAAAACGTATTAAGCTAAGTGTAGGTGATTACTTACTTTCCAGGATTATGACGTCTTATATTTATAGGTCGAGATTCCAAGAAGTCATAACTTGCTGTCAGGTTCTGTCCAAGACAAGTGTAAAAGAAAAATTCGAGAACAAAAGATTTTACTTTAGTAAAAGTCTGGAAAACGAACTGTATCATGGCACTGCACTATAAGATTTCTTTCAAAGACTCAGAAGTTAAAACTATCGTAGACCACCCTCAAATACTCTTTGAACACTGTTTTTCATTCCACTTCAGAGCTCAAGTTACCAGGGTTGTATTGTACATATTGAATAAATACGATCATGTGAAAGTGCTACTGAGGAGGTTTAATTTTGAATGGACAGAACATAGAATTTCCTGGATAGGCGTAGAAGTTAGAACTACATCCTAAATAAACAGTATCTTGTGAAAGAACTGCTGAAAAGGTTTTATTTGACGAGTCACACCATGGGGTGTCATCAACATTATCTAACTACATACTTTAAACTAGCCACACTGATTAACGTGGAAAATTGTGTTATTTAATCGACCCAAACCATGACTGCTTATTTTAACTGATTTTATTTCCCTTTAGAGTTTGAGTTTCTGGAGTTTACTGTACACATACTAAATGCATAGTAACGCATGGAAATCTGACTGCTGAAAAGGTTTCATTTTTATGGTCACACTATAGGATTTCATCTACAAACTCAACAGTTAGAACTACATTCTAAATAAATAGTACCATTCGAAAGTACTGCTGAAGAGGTTTCATTTGAAAAGTCACATAGCATTTTATCAAGATTTTTTACAGTTGTTCAAAGTAGACATCATTCATGTTAGAAATGTTGGCAGGAAAAAGGTAGATCTGAGGTTTAGAGCAAGCAATTAAACTTTTTAATAATACAGTGTATACAGTCAAACCTGTATATAGTGGCCACCCTTGGGGAATAGCTTCCCGACCACTTAAGGGGGCAGTACGGTTTGTTGATAATTCAACCCTATTTCTTAACTATCAAGCCAAGACTTTATTCAATCCAAAATGACTCGATTAAGTCACAGTCCTTAATTCAATAATTATTTGTGAATTTTTTGGATGACTTTCTGGATGTTTTTATTGTATAAAATCTACGGGGCGGGATGTTAAAAATTTTGGGAAAATGGCAAAATATTGAATTTGGGGGTTGTTAAAATTAAAATTTATGAAGTAAATAATTATTAGACAAATGTCAATTACCAAATAGTCCACCACCACAACAAGGTGCCTCTGATCCCATTAGCGGACTAACTGGTTTATGTGTATACCTTTTCTACCCTAATTTATTTCCTTCCCAAATCAACATCATTTCCCCACAAAACCAACCGTAATGCCCCCGTTAATACAGGTTTGACAAACGTAAGAGGTATTCTAGAGCATATCTATCCCACAACAAAGGGGCCTCAAACTATTTGTACCTCTACTTTGCAAAAAGACAAAAACGACTACTTGACTCGCTACACAGTGCATCTTTTTTACTAGTATGGTACATCTTCTACACATCCGGATGGTTAAATAGGGGTAAGGAAAATAATACAGGTCAGCTATACAGTAATTAAAGGAAACTATCTCTGGGACTTTGGTAAGTGACCGCTTAATAGAGGTCTGCTTAAGACAGGTTTGACTGTATGTAAGTTCAAAATGATTATCAAATAGCAATACGAGAAGTAATTGTCACACTTGTTGCCATTCAGCTTGTTTGACCATAAACAGTTATCATTATCATCATCATCATCTTTATTGTTGTAATTATTATTATTAATATTAATATTATTATTATTATTATTATTGTTATCATCATCATCATCATAACTTACCATGTTTGGGCTCAGATCAGGGTGATCAATCTTAACACCATCATCAACTACAGCTACAAGGATTCCTTTGCCTGTATAGTTGGCATCCCATGCAGGTTTCACATTCATTGAAACAGCGGTGTCTTTCTGAATTAAATAAGAACAATCCTTGAAATCCTTTCTATCACCCTAATGGATCATTACATGGAATGCTTTGGATAACAATATACGTGAGTAAAAGTATTTATTAGGGTCTGAATTTCATGGCATTTTTTGTCGTCAGGTGCTCAGTTAAAACGAATGAAACTTACCAGATACCACTGCCATTTTTTCCAGGAATTTTGGTTGGTACTTGTTGACTAGGTAAACAAAAATGAAATAACCCAGTTTATAACCAAACCTTATGATTTACATTTTGACCATAAAATTGCAAAGGGGCTATTATTAAACCTTCGTTAAGAATTTTTCCCTAGTTGTCATATAAATGCTTTCTTAGACAGATTGTTGATGAGAATTTAGGACACAAGATAAATTTTTTGACAATTCTTCATCAAGCAACATGTTTTGCATATTCTTGCATTTTTTTCTGTTCAGTTTTAGCCACAAATTCAGCTATTTTGATTCGGATAGCCATTAACGCTTTTTTTTAGCTCACTCGTGATTATTTAGCTAAGCGAATGTGGCTGGAAACAAGGTTGATCGGTGTTGATTTTCAAAACAACCTCGTTTCCAAGCACATATACCTTGTCAAATCTATGGTATATTGTTCTCATCTTCCAAATTTAGTCAAAGTCAGTTGGTTATGGGCCAATCAGTAATGGCTGAATATTTTGAATGAATAATACTTATTCTTTCACCTCTGAATACCGATTAGACCACAAAGACATTATTATGTTGACTTCTTTCTTCTCTTCGTTTTAACCTCGTGACTTGTAACAGGCTCATAGACCGAGATAGGCCGCCATTTTGTTTGTACTCTGCTTAGCTGCCGCTCACAATTGCAAGTGCCCACTAACTCTCGCGCGATACTCACCCTGTCAGCTTGTAATATTACACCACCACAGAGGTATATAAGAAAGAGCAAACTCATTATCAGTTGAACGTTCAGACCTATAGGAAAAAAGTGAAAAATATAAAAATAAATCAAAAGGAAAGGAAAGAGAAGAAAAGAAAGAAACGGAATTCAATACCTACGAACTCGCGCGCTCACGGAAGGTATTAATTGAGCGGCCAATTACAAATTTTCTTACTTGGCAAGACACCTAAAGGCCGTTAAGAGGAATTTCAAGAAATTTTGTATCAGTATAGTTTATCTAAGAATGATAACATGGCAGCTAGAACATAAAGAACATCAAATCAGGCTTCATGTAAGGATGTTACAGGTAATGTGAACAAAATGTATTTGTTTCAGTTATTCATTTTGAAGTCAGTTGGGAATAAACAACTAACAGGGTTCAGAAGAGCATCGGTTTAAACGAATTCTTATATTTCTGTTGTATCTTTCTGTAACAAGCTATTTTTGACGCTAAGCAGAGAGCATTCGCTGCAAAATACGTTGACTCTCTGCGGCTTACGAGCCCATCAGCTACGCAGCGTGGTTTTTGTTTTCACTTGAATAGTCCTGTGGCAAAGTACCAGGGCGTACCGCGTAGCCAGTACCTCACTATGCAATTACTCTTGTGAAAAAAGAGTGATCCAAAAAACGCTCGATAAATATATATAAGACATATAAAAGCTTTGCCAGATACGCTAACATACATAACTGAACATTTGAAGTGAAATAATAACGATTTACCTGAAAAGCTTAAGGAAGAGCCAGAGTCGCTCTTTATCAGGCACTTTTGAACTCTTCCGTTTCCAAGCTTATAGAAGCAAGTGTTCGCCTCACACTCCGGAAATTTCTCTGAGGACAAGATAGAACCAAGCTTTAATTATAGTATGCCAGTTTGAGAAGAAACGTGACTATTTCATATCGTCTGATTTTGTAAGATCATTATCCCGCACGTTCTCAAAACAGCTCTTGACCTCGTCTTAGTCGTACACACTGTTTAAGTTCCTGTTATGATACAGCCATCAGGTGATCGGTAGTAAATCGCATTTTTAGAAAAGCTGTAACGTCCAGTCCGTGATCAATACCTTAAACAATTGAACTGACGGAAAACTATTTGGTTTTCCAGCTTCCGGCCAAGCAACGAGGAAATTTGAAAAACCTTTCTGCCAATAGAAATTGCTTCCGTCAGCTTGTAAAATAATAATGGTATTTGACACACTACTTCCGCTCTTTTAAGTTTTTAAATTGATATGTTTTAATCACGACTTTGCCCTTTCAGTTGCGACAGTAGCCGTTAAATTTGAACTCTTATGTTGCCCCTATTCATTTCCTACAGAAGTAATGGCAAGAAGTTGATAAAATATCGACAAGTAAATTCATCTTGTGTGATCATGTCCATAATTCTCATGACCACTCTGTTTTACAAAGCATTGATATTACAAGGAGAAATTTGATGCTGATCACTCAGCTTAGGGCTTAAAGGAGGGGGTGTTAAGAGATACGGGATTAAATGTTTTTGATTTTCGTGAATGGTGTAAACGCGAAATTAAAATTCGTGAACTGTGAATGGTTTGCTTCTCGAGATACGTGAGCTTTAAAATCTTTCATCCGATATTCGTGATTTTCAACCAATTTTTTCGTGAAAATAGGTAATTATAAGTTGTAACTGAAGAAACTTTTACACTGAAGCCAGTGCACCTTCCAAATGAACTTAAGGTGTTTCGATACAGTTTTTCGGTGACCATACCGACGTTTTTCAATCGCCTTAAAAGCGATTTTGTCCTTGTCCGATCGCTACAAACTTTTCATCAATGCTTGACTTTGTATTGAAGTTTGTCAAAATGCAGTTTTTAGTAAAATCGATATCACTATGACAACAATAAACAAAAAAAAAATAAAATCGATAAAATCCGAATTTTGTGCGACCTAGACCTGTTACTGAAAACCCGACACCAGGAACTTATAGTGTGGTGTTTAGAAAATAATCTCCGTGAGAAGTAAAAAAATCTGTATGTTTGAATTCAAATAATAAGTAAATACATTTCAAACCTTATTTTTAATACCCGTGATAAATCGTTTAATAAAAAAGTTCTAAGTGCCTCAAATCAATCTTCACTAGCTTTAGACTGCGGCTTAACGACATATTTTGATGCTAGGAAATTTTGGTTTATTCTCTTTCCTGCGATGCTGAAAACTAACCTGTTTTCTCACCGCCTGTCTGAGTGCAACTTAGTCTAAATTTTGACTTTTAGCACTTTTTCGGCTGAATATCTTTAAAACGGCTGGACAGAATTCTTTTTGAACCTTATCACATAATCTTCATGATGTTTATAATAATGTCTGAAACTTTCAAGATTGAAATTTCAAGACAAACCTAGCCTACGAACCGGCCAAAAGTCAGCGTTACAACATCCACTGTTTTGACGTTGTGCTAATGTTTTCAAATTAATGCCCACCATACATACCTCCATGCCTAGTACATTTCAATGTCAATATTGTCACTGTTTACGTTCAAATTATGCAATAAAATTCTTAGTAAAGTGTACTAGCCATGGAGGTATGTATGGTGGGCATAACGTCATAACAGTGAATATTGTAACGCGGACTTTTGGCCGGTTCGTAGGCTAGGTTTGTCTTGAAATTTCGGATCAATCTTAGCAGCTGGGCACAGAACCTTATATAAAAACAGTAACAGAATATCATATACAACACCTTATATATTCCACTGCACTAAAATTACCCTATTTTAGTTGCTGTGTCACTAATTAACGCAATTTAATTAAAATAGCTCATTACTAAAAGTCCTTCTTACGAACGCCTTCTTTAACACTTAAAAGTTATGTAAAATTTTTTTGTTGTCTTTTGTGTATGAGTTACAGACAATTACAGAAGGCTTGTGTAAGATTTCTTACAGAACGCGTAAGAGAGCTTACACAAGCCTTTTGTAAGATACTTACAGAACGCGTAGGAAGGCTTACAGAATGCTTGTGTAAGACTCTTTGTACAAGGCTTGTGTAAGTATCCAACACAAGGCTTGTATAAAGAGTCCTTACAGAAGACTTGTGTAAGGGTGCTTACGGAAGGCTTGTGTAAGATACTTACAGAAGGCTTGTGTAAGAGTCCTTACACAAGCCTTGTGTAAGAGACCGTACACAAGGCTTGTGTAAGAGTCCTTACAGAAGGCTTGTGTAAGAGTCCTTACACAAGGCTTGTGTAAGAGTCCTTACAGAAGGCTTGTTTAAGATACTTACAGAACGCTTAAGAGTGCTTACAGAAGGCTTGTGTAAGATACTTACAGAACGCTTAAGAGTGCTTACAGAAGGCTTGTGTAAGATACTTACAGAACGCGTAAGAGTGCTTACAGAAGGCCTGTGTAAGATACTTACAGAACGCTTAAGAGTGCTTACAGAAGGCTTGTGTAAGATACTTACAGAACGCTTAAGAGTGCTTACAGAAGGCTTGTGTAAGATACTTACAGAACGCGTTGAAGTGCTTACAGAAGGCTTGTGTAAGATACTTACAGAACGCGTAAGAGTCCTTACAGAAGGCTTGTGTAAGAGTCCTTACAGAAGGCTTGTGTAAGATACTTACAGAAGGCTTGTGTAGGAGTCCTTACAGAAGGCTTGTGTAAGAACATAAGAAGGCTTACACAAGGCATGTGTAAGATGCTTACAGAGCGCTCGTGTAAGAGTCTTACAGAACGCCTAAGAAGGCTTACAGAAGGCTTGTGTAAGATAATTGCTTGTCGGCTTGTCTTACAGAAGGCTTAGAGTCATTACTGACGGCTTGTACAAGAAAGGCTTGTGAATGTCTTTTCTAAAGGCTTGTGTAAGGGTCGCTGTACTATGTGCAAACGCCTTTGGTATCCATCTTTAAAACCGTTTTTACGCCATTAGAATCGTTGATATATTTTTGGCGATTGAAGTGATTAATGCCACTTGCAAAGTTTGTTGGCGATTATCGGTTAACGATGATTGTTCGCTCCATCTGAAGGTGTCCCTCTCTTCGTTCTTTTTCTTTTTTGAGAACATCTCCAGATATTGCCGATGATTTAGTCGTTTTTAATCCTCCCAAGTTACCCACAACACAAATGATACTTTTTGCTGAGTTCCTATATGCGACTTTATTTTTAAAACTCAGTCGACAAACAACAAATAACAGTAAAAAAGAATTAATAATCGTTAAAGGATTTTTCCCAAGCTTGTTGCATGGCTCTGTCTTTTTTTTTTTTTTTTACCGAGTTTCGAGTTGCGGTGAATCAATCTCAATGAAGGTTTCAGAAATTATTATATACATCATGAAGATTATGTCATAGTTTAAAAAGAATTCTATCGAGCAGTTTCAGAGATAATACAGAAAAGGGCTAAAAGTCAAAATGTAGAATAAAGTTGCAATTAAACGGGTGATGAGAAAATAGCTAGGCTAGTTTTTAGGATCGCAAGAAAGAAAATACACCAAAATTTCCTAGCACCGTAAAATGATATTTTAAGCAGCATTCTGACGCTACTTAAGATCAATGTGAGTTATTTAGAACTTTTTTAAAAAACATTTTATTATAGCCATTGAAAATGTAAGGTTTGAAATATATTTTCGTTTCATTTACATTTCAAACGTTCAAGTTTTTTAACTTCTCACAGAGGTTATTTGCTAAACATCACACTTTAAGTTCCTGGTGTCGGATTTTCAGTAGCAGGTCTAGATCCAACCTCGTTCCCAGGTTCTCTCTCCTACCCGTCTCTCTCGCTCCCTAGGGACGGATAGGAGAGTACCCTGGGAACGAGGTTGGTCTAGATAGTAGTTAGTAAAATGAGTATCCTGGAGCACTCTTCGAATTTCCAGAATTGCATTAAAAAACTAATAAAATCCCAGAATATGCAAGGGAATTTAAAAATGAATATCTCTTTATAAGAGGGATAAATAATGAAATGGATAATTTTGTAGAAAAATATCTTACTGATACTAGTGAACTTTTTGTTTCTAGATTTGGTGATAGAATTAAGTTTATTATAAAAAAAATTATGAAAGCTCAAGAACTTAATTATTTAAAGGATACTAGTTGTTTTAAATTTAAAGAGTGTGATGTTGAAAATATATTCTTTTTATTTGAAAGAATGAATTTTGATTTTGAAGAAGATGAAGAATTTGTTGATGGTCATCCTGATGATTATCCAGGATATAGAGATTTTTATGAGTTGTTTTGTAAATTTTACGATAAAATAAATTTTGATAGTGATAGTGATAGTGATAGTGATGATAGTGTTAATATTGAGGATATATTAAGTGGTTATGAAGATTCTGAAACTGATAGTGATCAATTATCATTTAAAGTCTTATAATCTAATATTAATATTATAAGACGTCATGTCTAACCAATCAACTGATGGTTTCCAAGGTTCTCAACCTTTAAAACAGATAAACAATTTCAGAATTTATCTTTGGATGAAATAAGACATATTATTGAAGAAGAAAAAAAAGAACTTAAGAAAGATTATAAGGAATTAGGAGAAAGAAGAAAATTAATTAAACAATATAAAAAATTAAAAGAAGCTAGAGAAAAAGTGAGAAAAGGAATTGATATAAAAAAAGTCTATTCTAAAAAGACACCCCCTTCTAAAAAGAAAAAGATAAAATCATTTGATGAGTATTTTGAGGAATGTATAAAAAATAGACGGATTCCCAAAGATACTCCTCCTTATTTTCGAGAAGCTCTTGAGCGAGCTATTTTTGAACATGATCAAGGACTTGTAAAATCAGCTTTTGAAGACTTTGCTGTTAAGTACATTATTGAAGGAATTCCTGGTGTTACTCCACTTGAGTATTTTAGACAAATTTATAAAACTTTAAAAGATTTTTTTACATATCATCGAAATATTAAATTTAAGATGATTTTGGTTTGTTTAATGGAAAAACAAAAAATTGAAAAAGATAAGGGAGTTGTTGGATTAGAAGAAGATAAAGCGTACTTTACTTCAGGAACACTTATTAATATTATATCAACAGATGTAGAGAAATTAATTGATACTTGTATAAATAGTATTGAAGGAGGTATAGAAGCATGTCAACAAACTGGAAGTGCATGGTATTTTAAAGAAGTGTATAAACTTGAAATTCATACTGTTGAATATAATCCAACAAAAGGATCATCTTACATTCTTCTTCCAGATTGGATATCAAATAAAAAAGCAATAGTTAATATTGAAAACAAAGATGAAAAATGCTTTCTTTGGTGTATACTTAGGTATCTTCATCCTAAAGAAAGACTAACAGGTTTGAAAAAGTATGAGTTTTCACTTAACACTAAAGGAATTACTTTTCCTATGAAATTAAAAGACATCACCAAATTTGAAAAACTTAATCCATCTCTTCCAGGAATAAATGTTTTTTCAGTTAATGATAATAAAAAGTTTTATCCTTTGAGGATGGCGGAGAAAGATTGTTTAAATACTATTGATTTGTTTTTCTATGAACAAGATGGTGTTTCACATCATTCACTAATTAAAAATTTTACTCGTTTGATTAAATCACAAATAACTGCAAGTAAGAATGGTACAATATTTATTTGTAAGAAGTGTTTTACACATTTCACTAAGGATGAATTATTACAAAAACATATCATATATTGTCCAAATAATGAAACAGTTTGTGTAAATATGCCTAAAGAAAACACAATGTTATATTTCAAAAATTACTACAAACAACTTCCAATCCCTTTTGTAGTTTATGCAGATTTTGAATGTTTTACCAAACCAATGAATACTTGCAGTCCTAATCCAAAGGAATCGTATAATTACAACTACCAAAAGCATGAACCATCAGGATTTTGTTTTTATATAAAAGGAGTAGTAGATACAATATTTGAACCAATTATTTACACAAAAACTAAAGACAGTGATGATGTAGCTAAGATATTTGTTGAAAAACTTGCAAAAGTAACCAATAAGATATATAATGATTTTTATCTTCGTCCAATACTTCTTAGACTAACACACGCTGAACAAAAATCATTTGATGAAGCGGAAATTTGTCATATTTGTAAGAAAGAATTATTAGATAATAAAGTTACAGATCATTGTCATTTTACTGGCCAGTACCGTGGTGCAGCTCATAACAGTTGTAATCTTCAGTGTCGAAAGCCAATTAATGATTCTTCCAGTTATATTTCATAATCTTCAAGGATATGATGCACATTTATTTATAAAACAACTTGCTTGTTTACCAGGTGAGTTAAACTGTATTCCATCTACGGAAGAAAAATATATTTCCTTTTCTAAAAAGATTAAAGTTGATGAGTACAGGTCTAGACGAAATGGAGAGACTATTTCTTTATATTTCGAAATACGATTTATAGATTCATTCAAGTTTCTTCAAACATCACTTGCCAATCTAGTTGGAAATTTACAACCAGATGATTTTCATAATACAAAACAAATATTTAAGGAAAATGTAGACCTACTAATTCGTAAGGGAGTTTATCCTTATGACTATGTTTCATCATTTGAAAAACTATCCGAAACACAATTACCTCCAAAAGAAGAATTTTATTCAAAGCTAAATGATGAAGACATAACTGATGATGATTACCAACATGCTAAAAATGTATGGAATACTTTTAAATGTAAAACAATTAGAGATTATCATAATCTTTACCTAAAGTCTGATGTCCTACTTTTATCAGATGTATTTAAGAATTTTAGAAAAACTTGTTTGAAACATTACAACCTAGATCCAGCTCATTATTACACATCTCCTGGCCTAGCTTGGGATGCATGTCTTAAAGAAACAGGCTAAGAATTACAACTGTTGCATGATTATGATATGTTAATGATGTTTGAGCGAGGTATAAGAGGTGGAATATCTCATATATCAAAAAGATATGCAGAAGCAAATAACAAATATATGAAAGATGACGATCCTAATGAGGAGTCTAGTTATATTCAATATCTTGATGCAAATAATCTTTACGGTTGGGCAATGTCACAATCACTTCCTACAGATGGATTTAGTTGGATGAAAAATTTAACAAAAGAAAAAGTGATGGAAATTATGGAGAAAACAAATCATAGTATGTCAAATCGTGGAAGAAAAGGATATATATATTTGAAGTTGATTTGGAATATCCTTCAAACCTATGGGAAACACATAATGACTATCCACTTGCACCTGAAAAGATGATTGTTAATGGTGTTGAAAAACTAATTTGTCATTTTAAACCAAGAAAAAACTATGTTGTACATTATCGGAATTTGAGGTAATATCTTGAGATGGGAATGAGGCTTACTGCTGTTCACAGAGGAATATCATTTTATCAAAGTTCTTGGATGGAACCTTACATAAAAAAAAATACAGAACTTCGAAAAACAGCAGTCAATAGTTTTGAGAAAGACTTTTTCAAACTAATGAATAATTCCGTATTTGGAAAAACAATAGAAAACATAAGGAAAAGACAGAATACATTTCTTATTGATGAACGTAAGAAAGCTGCCAAACTATCAAGTCGTCCAAACTTTGATAGAGCAACAATATTTGATAAAAATCTTATTGCGGTTCATATGAAGAAGACTGAAGTGTGTTTTAACAAACCAGTATATGTTGGACAAGCAATACTTGATCTGCCAAAAACATTAATGTTTGATTTCCATTACAACTATATTAAAAAGAAATATAAAGACAAAGCTGAGTTATTGTTTATAGATACGGACTCATTGATGTATCACATTAAAACAGATGATTTTTATAAAGATATATCCCATGATATAAAAACCAAGTTTGACACATCTGATTATCCTCCTGATCACCCATCTGGTATATTGACAGGAGTTAACAAAAAAGTAATAGGAATGTTTAAAGATGAAGTAGCAGGAAAACAGATTACTTGTTTCGTTGGATTGCGACCCAAACTTTACAGTTTTAGAATTGAAGAAGATAAAGAAGTACGTAAATGTAAAGGAATAAAGAAAAATGTTGTAAAAAAGAAATTAGATTTTGATGACTATGTTCAATGTTTATTTTTGGGTAAAAAACAAATGAGATCAATGAAAATTATAAGAAGTGAAAATCATGATATATATTCAAAAGAAGTTAACAAAATAGCACTTAGTAATGAAGATGATAAGCGTGAAGTACTCTTGGGAAAGGTAAAAACGATCGCTTTAAGATAATAAGATATAAATAATAAATGAGTTATACAGAAGAACAAATAAAAAAATATTTAGAAATGTTGCATAATTATACTAAAAAACCTATAGAGGAAGTGAGTGATAGTAGACGTGTTAAATGTTGGAATTGTCAAAATAGTGAATGTTTTTTTATTCATTTAGGTTTTAACATTTGTGATTACTGCAGTGCATCCAATGGTCATGTATTAGGTTTTTACGATGTCCAAGATTACGATAGATTACATTTTCGTAAAAAGAGTATTTATCAGAGAAAGTACCACTATGAGAAAAAGGTTGATCAAGTTTCCAGAAGACTACATCTAACTGAGGATGAAAAGTGTGAATTGTACAATAAACTAATGGCAATAGACAATCATGTTATGGAAATACTAAACAAAAAGTATTGTAGAAAGAGAATGATAAGTATTTTTTATTTAATCAAAAAACTTTTAGAAGAGATGGGTTGTGAAAAGTACAAACTAGTTTATCTTAAGATTTCACCACAGACTTTGGAGAATTATGAAAAGTGGTGGAGTAGTTATATTAACTTAAAAAATAAAATGAATTAAATATATGGATTCAGAATCTAGATGCTATAGTTATAAATATATAAAAAAACCTAGTATCATAATTCCACATGAATCTTACTATGGAGATTTACCCATTGAAATTATAATAAGTGATTTAAAATATCTTAGAAGTATAAGTAAAACTGGGTATGGTATTTATCCATTCTATAAAACTTTAGGAAATGTTATAAATAAACTAAAAGATGAAAAGTGTTTTTGTAAGAATTACGAAATTAATTATTTATTATTAGCTGAAGAAGATGTAGTATATATAGTCAGGAGGCAGCTCGCCAAAAAACGATTTTCGCTAAACATTTTGAGTAGAAGCAGGCAACATGGCTTAAAATCTTCATCTGCTGTTGCCCACTCCAAATGTTATGATATCTGTCATTAAGCGGGTTTTTTGTCTAGGCCCTCGCTCCTGCAGCATGAAAACGAGGCTGAACTGTAACATTTATTTAAACCCAATAAAAAGTGCACAATACGATGGGGAAATAGCTGAATCTTTGCTACTTGACGTTTAAAGTTCGATAGACAGTAGTGTGGGAGATACAATGCGTCACGTGATCAGTTATGAAGAGTCACGTGACTTTCCAATAAAATCGGTTTTAAAGCATAAAAGACGCTCTATTCACACTTTCCTTTAATATAGTTTTCAACTTACTGACGTTTCTCATTTCGATTTACACATCCAACAATAAAAACACAAAAACGCAATAGGTGATCAGCTATGATGGGTCACGTGATGTAATGAAATCTTTTTTATTTTCAGTCATTCTATAGCGCTTACAACCTATGTAAAATTTCCCATGAGTTAGGATTTTTCATGTAAAAAGACTGAACTTTCTTCTACTTGGCCGCACGGTTTAAGCCAGAAATACAAGCTTATAAACCACAAGCAAAGTATCTTATATTACACAAGACCACCATGTGACTTCCACCTTATCAAAGTTATAGGTCATGCTTCATTCACCTCTGCTGCAGTGTTCCTGTCGTTTCCGCACCTGTCGCCACATTTACATGCCTTGGAACAGGAAAGAGATAGTTGAACGCAAGTGCAGCATCGGTTTACACAGCATCCGCCTTCTCGGGAGCACCCACAGTATGCTAACTGTAAACACGCCACTGACACTTCTTCTCGCGTCATTAACTTTGGCTTCAGAAGGCCTTCACTGTAGTACCATCCGCTGTCTTCAGGCTTTGGGAGAGAAGGACATGGTTCCAGCGCTTTATTCCATACGATGGTCTGATACTTTGCCCGCTTTATGTGGAGAATCAGTGCATCTTGAGTCGGAGCTCGAGGTGGGGCGTCGAGATCTTTCTTGGATTTGCGAAACGCTGCTGCTCTTTCTTTGTTGATTTCCACCTCTTGTGTTCCCGGATTGTAGAGTTTTCACACAAAAGCTTCAGCTTTGGCAAGAACGTCAGCACTGATTTGGCTTTCTTCTCCAAGGTGTTCCAAGAGGTCAGGTGCATCTTCGAAGACTTTCCATGCCTATGCCTTGCCCACACTATAGTACTGGCTTGTCGTATCACAGCCAGTAATGGCATGAAATGCCAGAAGCGACTTCCTCTTCTCCTCGGAGAGCGGGATTCTGTGAACTGGTATGTAAACGCCTTGGTCTTGATGTACCTGCAAACATCCATATCTCTTGGCAAAGCTGCTCTTAGTGTGCCAAAAGGAGGACAAGAACGTCCTTATCACGACACAAAATGTTGACTTGCTTGTAGCCTCTTGCTGCTGCGTCTCGGGCGTGTAGTACTATTCTAGTTTCTGCCTCCTCATGATCTGATGCGAGCTCCCTTATATCTTGTCGTGATGTGTCAGATGACCACACCTTCAGTGTATCCTTGAAGCCTCCATTGATCACCCGCTCTCGCCTAGGAGGCGGGCTGTAACTCTCCGAGATTTCAGTCGAGAGGAAATGAGCTAGGCTAGCCTTGTTATCTTCTAGAATGATGAACCCTTTCCCAGTTTCCAATTCTCCGATCTCTGTTATCCACATTGCGGGTGCATCAAGACATGTATTCTTTTTTTATTGTTCCATATTCTTTTTCTCCTTGCGCATGTCTCTGGTTCCTCCTTTTATCGAGTTCTTGACATATCTGTCAAATAGCACGTCAACCCTTGTAGAACTGTCCGAAAAATGGGAAGTGACATGACGAAGAAATCGGTCACTCCACTCACCAAAGGTTTTTGCTCCTGAAGAGTTGGCGAGGGACTAAACAGCTGCCATTCCATCAATAATAGTGCATGTTTGACTCCTGCTGATGGGCATTTGGCTCTTACAGACATTTCCTTATAAAATGGTACCAAGATCCGACTTCCCTGCTTCTCGTAGACTTCCGTCTAAGGTAGCAAGTGACTTTGGGACTGGAGCAAGCTCGCTTTGAAGCAACGTATTCACATCTACATCACGACCGGATTCCAAGGCTACCATCACCCTTCTCGAGAGATCTTTGTCTGCTTTCATGGCGATTGTCTTGCTCTTATCAACTGAGACTGGCACTGTGTAAAGTGTCTCAAAGGTTTTCACCTTCTGTTGCTTTAGAGTGTCATGGAACTTTATTTCTTTCTTCATTAGCCTGGTTTCAACGAACTCTTTGATGACTTTCTTACCAATTTCCCCAACGCTTGTTTAATGGCGTTGCTTGCCACATCTCCAGTGGTAAATACAACTAAGTCAGACGTACATCGGAAGACCTCTTATTTCGTAAACTGCGCCTCCAGCTTAGCTACATCCTCTGCATCTTGTCGCATTCTGGCTTTCCGCAGATCTTTGGCGCTAGTGCATTCTCTTTCTAAGACGTTAAACATCTCTTTGGTGTCTTCTGACAGCTTGGCGCGCTCATTGTAGGTAAGACACCAGCGATCTTGAGCCGAGTCTGTCCTTGTAATTCAAACAAGGCCTACAGCTACCTGTCCAGATTTGTTTACATGCCCCAGTGCTTGGTCGTCGGGAATTTGATTGAAGGTGCTGGCTGTCTCCTTTGTGACAAAGTCGCCACTCTCAAATGCCTGCTGGACCTCAGGGGCAGTCTGCGGAAGCATCTTCATGTCTGCAAGAAATATGACGCCCCATCTGGTGTAATTCGAGTGGTCGAAAGCCGCAAAATAGCATTTCGGAGAACGAGGAGAGATACAGATCCCACTAATAATTCCTGAAGAGCTTACTGAAACAATTAATCAATCACTTTATTCACACAGCTAAGGCTAATTCAGTATCTATTCAATGGTTGTTATCTAGTCACGTGACCCATCATAGCTGATCACCTATTGCATTTTTGTGTTTTTATGGTTGGATGTGTAAATCGAAATGAGAAACGTCAGTAAGTTGAAAACTATATTAAAGGAAAGTGTGAATAGAGCGTCTTTTATGCTTTAAAACCGATTTTATTGGAAAGTCACGTGACTCTTCATAACTGATCACGTGACGCATTGTATCTCCCACACTACTGTCTATGGAGCTTTAAACGTCAAGTAGCAAAGATTCAGCTATTTCCCCATCGTATTGTGCACTTTTTATTGGGTTTAAATAAATGTTACGGTTCAGCTTCGTTTTCATGCTGCAGGAGCGAGGGCCTAGACAAAAAACCCGCTTAATGACAGATATCATAACATTTGGTGTGGGCAACAGCACAATTCTTAATCAAGATGGCAAGATGAAGATTTTAAGCCATGTTGCCTGCTTCTACTCAAAATGTTTAGCGAAAATGAAAAATGAGCGCCCTGCGTGACAGTGCTTCCCGACTATGAAAGCAAGATTGAATATCAAATGATTGGTAATAATATTTGAATTTGAATTGAGGTAGTGTATCGCTTCTGTTAGTCTGTAAATAATTTGGTCTATGTCTAGTTTTTGTGTAAAATACTTTGTGTAGAGAAACTGGTAAACAAGACAAGCTTTAATAAAGTTATCTGGATAAAATTGTGTTTTATAAGTTGGAAAGTAGAAATTAACATATTCTACAATTGATTTGATCATTTTATATTATGAATAGATATAAAATGGTTTAAAGATTTAATATAATCAATATATAAAAATGGTGAGTCTTACTATTTCAGAAGAAGTTCTAAAAAAAGAAGGGGGATTACTACTTGATCAATTAAAAAATAGTCTTGATGATTTTAAAGATCTATTTAGAATGAAAAGTTTTTGTAGTTCATATTTTGAAACAATTAAAAGAATGAAAGAGGATCTTAATATAGCAGAATCTGTTGCAATGTACGAACAATTAAAAAGAGAAGGAAAACCACTTGGTGAAAATTTACATTGGTATCATTACTATGAAGAATATAAAAAAGATAAAACAGAAGATAAAAAGACTAGACTTGTAGATACAGCTCCTTCTGGGTTTTTTAGACCTGATTTTGAAAGTATTTTTAGAATATTAGATTTAGTAGATATAGAAATGGAGATTTTTGAAGATTTATATTTTGATGTGGGAATTGTTTTAAAAAATATGAAGTTTATAAATGTTTAAAGAAGTAGTGTTGTATGTATTATCATTTTCTATTTAATTTAAATAGAAAATTAATAAAGGCTTAATGAAATAAAATTATAAATAAAATGCTAGAGAAATCTTTTATTAATTATCAATTAGGAATTAAGTTTGAATCTTTCATTGATCAAAAATGTAGGGTTTGGTTCAAAGCTAAAGAAGTTGCTCAGATACTTGGATATAAAAATACAGACGATACTATAAAGAGACATGTAAGTGAAAATCATAAAAGAAAACTTCTTTTGAGCTGTCCCCGTGAATCACGGGGTCAGGTAATTAAAGACAAAAAAAGCTGCTCCGTCAAAACGACGGGTCAGGTCCAGGGTAGATGGATTATATTAATTGATGAGCCAGGTTTTTATTGAGTTAGTTTTTAAATCTAGATTACTAAGTGCAAGAATATTCCGCGAATGGGTTTTTGCTAAAGTTCTTCCTTCAATTCGCAAATATGGATACTATAGAATGATTGATTCAAGAATAAAACAAAGAGTAATAATTGATGGAAAAAAATATTATAAACACCCAGTGTTTTCTAATTATGCTGCATCTAAAAATGGAAACGTGTTAAGTTTAAGATCTAAAAAAATTATTAGTATGGTAAAAAATGGTAGTGGTTATTTATATTTTAATATATAATTATGATGAAAAACTTGAAAAACGTAAAAATTACACTCAACACAGATTTGTATATGAAGTGTTTAAAGGGCCAATACCACGATTTTTTGAAGTTGATCACATCAATGAAGTTAAATCAGATAATAGAATTAAAAATTTGCAATTACTTTCACATAAAAATAATATTGAAAAAAGTAAAAATAGACCAATTATTTCTATTAATATTGAAACTGGAAAAAAAAAGAAGATATAATTCTATTAAAACAGCTGCGATTGAATTAGATATTGGTGCTGGTAATATTTCAAAAGTTTGTAGAAAAAAATGTAAATTTTTATCATCTAGAAGAGATGGATATAGGTACACATTTAAATACTTAGATTAGGTTTCAATATTAATCAATATTGAAACTGCAAAAATATTTCGAAAGTGGGTATTTATATAATATTTAGTAGTTTATTCTTTTAAAACTTTTTTTTGATTTTTTCTTGTTTCAGATATGCTACCCAAACAATATTTAATAGAGTTAAGATTGCTAATATCATATTTAAATTTTTTACATTTATTAAACAAATCTTTATCAAGAAAATCTTTTTTAAAACTTAAACAAAAACTGCAATAATTTTGAGCTTTATCAATATCAAAATTTTCATCATCTTTAATTAAAGAATCAATTTTTTTACAGATTTCTCTACCTTCTGCAGCCAAAGTTGATTCGTAAGAACTAATTAATTGTTCTTCAAATTTTTCAAAGTGATCCATTTTATTATATAGTTAGATTAAATTTTTTGTTATACCTACTAACAAATCTGTCAGCTATAGGAGTCTGATCAATTATCATTTCATCTATTAACTTCATTCGTTCAATAAACTCTTGTTTATTAAACTCATTACCTCTTAAAGCTGTACGAAGTTCAACGAGAACTTTTTCGTACGTAGTAAATGCAATCCTTGACATCTCAATTTTTCTTTTGTAATTCCTTTTCTTTCCAATTCCCGCGACAACAACTCCAGCGCCATTTACGACTCCGAGAAGAACAGGGTTTAGGGTTATTCCACCAGAAATAGTTCCAATTGCAACCAAGCATATTCCAGAAATACTAAAAACATCATCAAGAAATTTATATCTCTTATAAGACCGCTTAAAACACCAGTATTTTTTGTGGTAATGATTATAAAAGTCTTTTAGGGTTGTGACGTCTGATTCTGACAGAGATTTATCAATGTGATTAAATTCAAAGGTATCCTTCATTTATATTTACACTATATAAGATCCATTTAACTTTTCTTGAATCATTACTTTGTGAAATTGTTAAGAGTCAAAGTCGTAAAAGTTTGGAGAATACAATATTTTACTTAACACTCCATCTTCAGTTGTAAACTTCCAACGTTGATTAACATTGTATTGAATGGCTGGTATAGTTAATGTTGCGCTGTAGTTACTTATTTTAACTTTTGTGACATTTGAATCAAAATTTTCTGTTTGCCATAAAACAATTCTTTTTCCATCAAAACTACTTGGCATGGTAAAATTTTGAGTTGCTCTATTGATAGTTAAAGTTACTTTATTGTTTGTTTTATCATAATTTAATTTTATTAACAGTATGCTATTGTTTGTTGATAAATATTTAGTTAGGGTAAAACTCCTATTTCTCCAATGAGTAAAAACAATACATAAAGTAGATTTCGAAGAATGCGCAGGGAAAAAAGTAATATCATAACCATTAACATTTAAGCCATCTTTTTTTATTTCATCTAGGTCTTTATTTGGTGGTAGTGTAATATTAGGCTTTACAGAATTAATAATAACACCAGATGAACCTATATTTATTCCATAACTATCCGCATTAGCAAAGTCATAGACCTCACTAAAGTATAATCTGTACAAAGCATTTTTAGTAAAAGGAGCTACTTCTTTTACTAATGCAACTGTTGCAGCACTATTATCATTTTGTCGGTTAAGTTTGACGTTTCTAATTTCTTTTTGATTTGCGTTGATATCAACGTTGTACACCAGTTCTGTTGGATTGATATCAAATGCGGTGTGATAGTCGTAAACGTTATCTGGATAGATATTGCTGACTGTACCCACAACACCATAAGCAATTATGTAAACTCCCTTAAAAATTAACGGATATTTAAAAATTACTCTTTTATTAATATCAACAAGAATGTGAAGAAAGAATCTATACCCAGATGACAACTTCCGAAAATTAACTATTATTCTATGGTAGTACATAAATTTTGTTTGCCCTTTTGAATCAGTATAACTATGGGATAGTTTTTTTATACCTACATTTCCAATTGATAATCCTCTTGAAGTTCCTTTGTCAATACTTATTTGAGTATTATTCCAAAGAATATAATCAGTGTTGAGTATTTCTAGACAAAAGGTATAGTTAGTATTTACAGTTAGTCTGTAAAAATTAATTCCCATCTTATACTTATATTGACCTTGGCGATTTTTAAATATATTCATGTAAATTACTTTATGGTTGTAATCGTGAAAATTACCTTTGTTTGGTGGTAAGTCATCTATCTTATTTATAGCAAAACTAGTTCCACTTTCTATTTCATCAGTCCATTGAGCCCCACTTGACATAAGATAAGCAAACTCATCTTTATAATGACTTGGTTGAACTGCAGTGTGATGAACTAGTTTGTCAGCATAATCTTTAGTTACTGCTTCATTGTCTTGGGTTGGCTTACTAAGATTTATTATTTTCTTGTTGTTAAGATTTAAGTTTCCAGTCATAGCGACGGTACCATCTTTTTCCAAATAATCTCTCAAATCTGGGGTACCTATGTTATCATCCACATACTTTTTGGTTGCAGCATCTGTGTTTGATGTTGGTGGTCTAAGGTTAATTATTTTTTTATTATCCGTGTTTAGATTATTAGTCATTTTATTTGTTCCAGCAACGTGAAGATACTTCATATCTGTGAAAGCTAATGGTGTTGGTTGTTTTCCACCTGTTGGAGCTGGCAAATTTAATATTTGATTGTTATCCATATCTAGATTTCCAGTCATTTTTTCTGTTCCATCTAGATTTAAAAAATTATTATCAGTATAATTTTTTGTTGCTGGTTCACTGTTTGATGTGGGTGTCCGAAGATTTAGTATTTTGTGGCCACCAGTGTTGAAGTCCCCAGTCATTGCAACAGTGCCGTCTTTTTTGATGTAATCATTTAGTTTCGCGTTAACCAAATTGTCAGTGTATTTTTTTGAAGTTGCATCACCATCACCTGTAGGATCACCAAGATGAATTATGCGATAAGATCCAAGGTTTAAATCACGTGTCATTGGTTTTGTTCCATTAGTTTTTAAAAAATTATTATCAGCGTAAGACTTTGTTGCTGCTTCATCTGCATCAGATGGCGCTTTAAGGTTTAGTATACGATATGTATCTTTCATATCAATGTTGGAATCCACTGTTATTAATGATGTTTTTCCATCACCAGAATTAATTATCATCAACATATTTTTTTGTAGCAGCATCAGTATTAGCACTGGGTGCACCAACATTTCTTAGTTTTTTATTTATCATATCATAATCCCCACTTGAAGTAAGATTAAATCCTACTCCTGGTGCACCCTGAATTCCTCTAGCAAAAGGATGATCAAAAGATTGTTCGTTAAATATACCCATTTTAATTATTAGGTTAGATTACCAGTAAAGTTTCTTGCAATACGTTTTTTTGTTTTGTCAAAATATAAAAATGAATGAGGTAATTTAGTTGCGGATTTATATTTTTTTTTTGTCAACAATCAACTCATTAGATATCATACCAAGATTTCTTGATGGAGACTCATAAAGGCAAAAATGAGAACAATTTATCCGGATATCTATTGGTGTTCTATAAAAAGACTGACTTAGATAAATCACTGAACAATTTTTATGTCTTCCTTGCATAAAATATTCTATAAGTTTTTTTTGGTTTTTCTCACAAATGTAATCATCAAATATTACAATTTTTTGATTGTCTTCATAATCAAGATCTGTCACTGGTATTATTTCATTATTACTCTTACGAAGTATTTTATAACCCAGTTTACTACTCAAATTATTCATTTTTTTAATTAACTTTTGATACTTATCCTGTTCTAGATTACGAGCTTAAAGATAAATTTTATCATAATACAGTAGTGGTTTAATTAACATGTGATATAACAGATTAGTCTTACCACTTCCACTGCTTCCACAAATTAACATCCGAAAAGTGTCTGATGGCATAAAGGAAAATAACTGTTTATATTTTTTATCTGAGTTGTCATCACTATCATAGTTTGGTATTTCCATTTATCTAATGATTAAATAAAAATGGATATTGAAGAAGCCAAAAAATTTGCAAGAAATAAAATTGAAGCTGACGCTTTAACTCAACAGGTGAGAGATGTAATAAAAATAACAAAATGGCAAAAACAAGATATGCGAGAAGGTTTTAAAGAGACGTTTAAACCACTTATTATTATTATTTGCTCATGTTTTTGCAAATATAAAGTCAAGTGAAGGAGATGATAACCCAGATACATATTTTCCCCCAGAAAATAATTATTGGACAATGCCTACAAGTAAAAATGTTGAATTATATCAAAAACCAACTAAAATAACAATTACTATTGGTTTTAAAAAAAGGAGTAAAAAAGATTTCATTAAAAAATTTAATATTAAAGATAAAATAGAAAATTACTATCCAAAATTAATTTATTTAAGTGAACCAGTCTTTAAAAGATATATAAATCATATCAAAAAAACTATTAAAGCAGAAAAAAAATTTGGACAAACAAAACTAATTAAAAATAAAAGTACAGTTTCTTTTTTAGCTTCATTTTATCATTATGAAGGCTCAAAAGGTTTTATATTTTATCTTACAAAAACACCAATAAAAAATTAACAGAATCTGGAAAAAAAAGGGGTAGTGAGAGGAATAAAAACTATTACTTTTAGCAATAATCAACTTGTAAAAACTTACAAAAAAGTAATAAAAATAAATAGTGAAGTCTATAGATACTTAAAATATATGAAAGTAGATAGATATTATGATAATAAACCTAATACTCCACCAAAACTATTAGCTCTTACTGATAAACCTAATACTCCACCAAAACTATTAGCTCTTACTGAAAATTTAGAAAAAGATTTAATAGACTTTGGAGATGAAGAAAAAGATTTAATAGACTTTGATACTATTATACCTCCCAAAAAACAATCAGCACAAGATCTACTTAATGATGAAGAATTATTTCCAAGAGGTAAAAAGTATAAAGTTTTAAAAAATGAAGATTTGATTCCAACAAGTAATAAATCAACCACTGATGGTGCTAATATTGTAAAAAATATCTTAAACTACCCTGAAACAAAAAGAATACTTGGGGTAAGTTTAACATCAGATTTAAAAGAAAAAGTAAAAAATTTAGATTCTGAAGCGTCATTTGGAATGGCAAATATACTAAGTTCTCTTTTAACAGCAAATCGTGGAAAAATGTCAAAATACTCAATAATTAGAAATCAATTAAAAGAAATTATTGAAGGATTTATTACGACATTAAGTATTCTACTAAACCCAGCACAAAAATATTAATATAACTATTTAAATAAAAATGACATCTTATATTGAATATAGAGTAAAACTTACAGATGGGCAAAAGTCAAAACTGGCTTCTGCAATCAGAAATAAAACGGCACTAACTCTTCGGTTAAAACATTCTCATCTTCGAGGTTCTGATGAGTTAATGCTAACAAAAAGTCAAATTAATAAAATAAAAAAATCACTGGCAAATGGCACAGGATCAGATATAAAGATAAGTAAAACTAAGATTAGACGTTCTGTAAAACATGGTGGAAACTTATTTACTAGTTTAGCATCTTTAGGTGCTAAACTTCTTCCCTACGCAATAAAGGGAGTTTCCAAAGCTGCTCCTGCACTGGCTACTGGAGCCGCATCTGCACTTGGTGAAATAGGTTTAAAAAAGTTATTTGGTAGTGGTATTACAATTCCAAAAAAGTTTTTCCCCATGTTACCACCTATTGTAAGAGAGTTTACCCAAGCACAAATAAATCAAATCAATACAGCACATAAAACAGGAGGTCGACTGGTTATCAAACCAACTCGTAAACAGATAGAAGGAGGATTTCTGGGTACTCTTGCTTCCATTGGAATTCCAATGGCAATTAGTTTAGTATCTAAGATGTTTGGCTCTGGCCTTCAGGTTGATCGAAGATCGTCTAGTAATACAAAAAATGTTTATGTCCCACCACCTCCTCAATCCACACATGGTGAGGGTTATCCTTATCAATCTCCTCCCTTTTCTGGTACTTGGAAAACCCCAGTTGGAATGGGGGTTAAAAAAAAAAGTCCAAGTCCAAAGGAAAAGGTCTACTACTAGGAAAAAACAGCCCATTCAACTCAATTCCAATTCTCGGAACCATTTTGTAATCAAACCTCTATCCAACTTTGACCTCATGGATTGGGTAAAGAAACTTGGTATTAAACATTTAAGAGGAATATACAGTCGTGATGGTCTACCAAAAAAGATTAGAAAAGAATGTGGAATAATCAATCTCGATGACATGACTGGCCCTGGAACACACTGGGTTTGTTATAGAAATATAGACAATATAGTTGAGTGCTTTGATCCATTTGGTTTAATAATGCCAAATGAAGCACTGGTGTATTTTCATACTTCTGGAAAACGCGTAGTTTACTCAATGGATGAAATACAAAATCGCAATACTGTTCTCTGTGGTTACTGGTGTTTATATTATCTGTTTGAGCGACAACGGGTTAATAGTATTCTTGATGTAATACATAACCCTCATTTTGATAATGACAACAGTGATTTTATAAAAGAATATTTCTCTTAAGACTAAATATAAAATTTATATTTAGTCTGTATCCTCTGGTGTATCCTTTAGTTGTTTAACCCTATCAACTTTTGTATTTAGATCTTTAACGCTATCAACTATATCACCAAATTTCGAGTAAATATCTATAAGACGATAAAGTTTCTTCTTCTTATCACTCTTTATTTGCAACCAAGAATATTCCTCATTTCGAATTTTTTCCCACATCTCACATTCACCAGCCATTAGGACTCTAGAAAGATTATCATTTTTCTTTCTAAGAGACTCAAACTCATTTATTTGTGTTCGTACATCTTTCTCAAAATCTTATAGTGTTTTAACATCCATCTTTTTTTCTATCTCAGAAAAGAATTTGGCTTCCATTTACTATATAAATAGATAATTTCCTTTTACAACTTCGTTAAGGGTATTTGATTTCTCACTTATTTCCATAAGCAACTCAAATACTTTTATAAATCGAGCATCATTTTCTAATCTAGCAAAATCAGCGTATTCATAACTCACGTTTAAAAAATTATATATCTTTTGAAGTTCACTTTTTACAAAATTAGATCTAGTAGACATATTTTATCTAAACATTATATTAAATGAAAGAATCATATTGCATTAAAGATAAAAGAGTAACTCCTTGCACAGAGCCAAGTGGTTACCAAACAGATAAACGTGGACGTACTCAATTCTTCTGTCATTGTGCAGTTTGTGGAATTAAAAAAGTTAGATATGTAAAATCAGGTTCAGTTTCTCAAACTGGAAGTGGAAAAAAGAGAAAAACAAAAAAGAAGTCAAAAAACTAATAAGCCCGTCTGAAGGGGCGGGCGTTTTTGATACTGTAGTTGGCACAGCAGTTGAAGGTTTTGTTAATTATGGTTTACCTTGGATGGGTAAAAAAGCAGTTGAAATGGGTCGGTATGGAGCAAGTGAATTAATGAGAAATAAAAAACTACAAAAGAAAGCTGTGAATTGTGGAATTAATAAACTAACTCCATATATTCAAGATTCTGTTGGAACAGCAATGGACCAGCTGTCAACCAAAGTTAGACCAAATAAAAAGTATAAAACTGATAGAAAGGATTTAGACGGTCGATCGGGACGTGGAATTGGAGGAGGTGTGAATCCAACTTTACAGTATGCTTTTGATGAAGCTAAAAATGGAGGGTATAAGGGTAATATAGATCAATTTGCCAAAACAACTGGATTAACACAGGAGTTAACCGGAGGAAATCTTGTTGACGATGCTGTCAAATTTGCATGAGGTATAAGGAGCTGTAAATAAAGCTATTCAGGCTGAAAAAAAAACACCAAGATTTTGTAAAAAGTGGAAGAAGGCAGCATTTTGTAAATAGTTGGAATGCAGTAAAAGAATTAGGTTACAAACATAAATACTTTACTTTCTATTTAAGTTTGACAAATAAACCACTTGGATGGACAATGGGATCTGGAGTTGACATTCACAAACAAATACTAAAAGTAGCACCTTATAGAGGAATAACTATACCAGGCCATAATTATACTGGACCTGGAAATCCTCTTCATGATCAACTTCGTCACGATGATGAGGGAAATATACTAGAAATCTATCAACAACCAACAGGACCAACTGATGCAGTTAGTATGCAACATGATGTTGATTACACAGTTTGTGGAAATAAACCTAAAAGTGAACAATTAAAATGCAAACATACCGCAGATAAAAAAATGGTAAAAGCCTTAGATGCTGTTCCTTGGAAAAAAAGACAATGGGGGCATGCTCTTGCTAGAACTATGATAAATACAAAACAAAAACTTGGACTTGGTTTAAACGCGCGTCGGCGTTGAGTAGTGATTGGTCTCAACAATTAGCCGACGAACTTCACAAACCAATCACAAGAAACTTTCAAAAGAGACCAGTAGTCTCAAACGGAATTGATGAAATCTGGGCTGCTGATTTAGTTGAAATGCAAAAGTTTAGTAAGTGGAACAAAGGGATTAAATATTTGTTGATGGTTATAGATGTTTTTAGCAAGTATGGTTGGATTAGGGGACTAAAAGACAAAAAAACTGAAACTGTCAGTAAAGCATTCGATGACATATTCATATGGACAGATAAAGGTTCTGAGTTTATCAGTAAACATTTCAAAGATTTTCTGAAAAGAGAGGGTATCAAACTATATCACACTGAAAACGAAGAGAAATCTAGGGTTGTTGAGCGATGGAATAAAACAATGAAAAACAGAATGTGGAAGATGTTTACTGTGAATAACAACACTGTTTACTGGGACAAAATAGATAAACTAGTTAATGATTACAACAACTCGAGACATTCCAGTGTAAAAATGACTCCTGTTGAAGCAAGTAAAAAGAAAAATGAAAGTAAAGTTTGGTCTAATTTGTACGGCGATTCGATTTACTTGAAACCTGGTAAATCAAAGTTTGCAATTGGTGATCGTGTTAGAATTTCTAAGTATAAGAGGAAGGTATTTGATAAAGGCTACACACCAAACTGGACAGAGGAGATATTTGTGATTTATAAAGTTCTACCAACAAAACCTGTTACATATAACATCGTTGATTTGACGGGAGAAGAGATTAAGGGTTCTTTCTACGAGCAAGAATTACAAAAAGCAAAACAACAAACATTTAGAATAGAAAAGATTATCAGACGAGATAATAAGAAGAAAATGGCATTAGTAAAATGGAGTGGATATCCTGATAAATTTAACTCATGGGTGAGTTCTAAGGATTTGGTTGATTTTTAATACAAATAATGTATTAAAAATAAAATTCTATTATTTACTCAGTTTCTTCTTTATCAGATAAAACTAAGTCTTCAACTAATTTAACTACTTTCTCAGTATTAACCTCTTCATCTTCATCTTCATCTTCATCTTCATCTTCCTCTTCAATTGTTAGTAAAGATTCTCTTGGTTTTAGTGGTTTGACATAACACTCATGTACTTTTATTTGTAAAGATGTTACAGTCCTACTTATAAATATTCCTTCAATTATCAACGCCATTTTAACATTACAATACTGATTAATATATTTAAAAGGATTTAGATTCTTACCTCCCTTTCCCTTAACCAAAGATAAAATTTTCTTTGATTTTTCTGAGTAAATAAATTTTGCGTAAAGAACTGGTGCGGATGAGGGATCTATTCTTGTTTTCTTCTTTCCTTTCTTATCTGTATATTCTTCCTGTTTGTGATAAAATGGAGAAGACAAACTTGATGCTAGATCTACACCGTATTCATTTTCTAGATGTTGCTGAGAAAGAGTTGTTACATTGTTAATAGCACCAAAAAATGCTTTTTCTTTAGTACTTGGCTCGCTATCTTTAGCCCAAAGACATACTGGTATACTATAACCTACTAACTTGTTTGTTTCTTGATTTTTCTTCTCATTTACGCCAAAGCTGAAAAGAAGTGGAGTTTCGATTACCAAAGCTCCTTTCTTTCCATTTGTATATTTGACTTCAATTGGGATACGTTTATATTTGATCTTACTATCTTTTACTTTGCACTCTTTGGCTTCATTAAAGATAATGTTTTCTGGGGTAAGATGATCGTAACTTGATAATTGCATTTTTTTATTACAATTTTTATTTCTTTAAATATAAATATTTTTTAACCATTCTTCATCAAATCTAGGAGAAAGTGGTAAATAAATAGAAACTTTATCACCTCCATTATCTATATACTTATTATCATTTAATTTTAATTTATGATCAAAAGTTAACCTTATTTTATCTCCATTTGGATTAGTTATAGAAACAAAACCAACAATAGTATTTGTACTCATATTTTATTCTTTTTATTAAATATTTAAATCATTTTTTTTCTGGCCAGAGTAGATGCACACTCCAATAGTTACTCGATTCAGGATTTGTATAAGTTAACTCCCCCTGTTTATTTTTAATCTTTTTAGCTCGAGCAAGATATTTATCTCTTCTTTCTTTATCTTTATGTATAAGATAATCTGGATAATTTGAAGATCCAAAATGAATTTTCTTTCCACCTGGAAGTGTTGCCATGTATTTACTATTTTTACGAGATGAATAATCAAACGATTCAGCACCGAGTTTTTTAGCATTTCTGGTTAGTTTTTTAAACTCTTTACCTGTAACAACATATTTATCTTCATCTGATGAGCAGTTATCTTTTGGATCATATGTTGGATCCTCATCATGATTATAACCATCATCAACTATAAAATCCAAATCTTCCTTTGTTGGAATATCTTTAGAGTTCATTTTATTAATTACTTATATAATTTTTAAGAAATTTACTAATCTTAATATAAATCTCATCTTCATAAATTTTTGTATATTTATATTTATTTTTATAATTATGAATATTTCTATGAATTTCATCTATTCCATCATAAGTAAAATAATTTTCAATCTTATTATAAGATCTTCCTTTAAAATTAGAAAAAGCAACAAATGTAATTAAACTATGGTAAATATTTGGATCTAAAAGGTTTAATTTAGTTCTCCTATCTTTTTTATTTTTTATTACTTTTCTTTTCCATTTTTCTACTTCTGAATGAATTATTTTACAATTATCCAAATCATCAAGGTTAATTAATTTTACATAATTAAATACAAGTTGTTTAAAATCATATCTATTTCTTAATATATATCTAAATGGTGGATTTCTTCAAAATCTTCAAATACGTATAATTTTTTTTTTATAATAAACATCACTATTTTCAAAAGTAATACCAAATTTATAATATCTATCAAGTAAAATAAAATAATCTTCATCTAAATATGGATCATTATCATATTCTTTATTTTCTAAAAAATCACCAGAATATTTAATTGACATAAAAACTAAATGCTGAAAAGGCTGATTTCTTGCTAAAGTGTTAATTTTTTTTAAATCAAAAAGTTTAAATTTAAAATCAGGGGGTATAATAAATTTATTCATTTCAGGAGAGCATATAACATTTTTTTATTTATTAACTATATTTTTTTCAGTTAATTTAAAAACAAAAAAAATTATAATAAATGTTGTTTAAAAAATGGAATATTATTTATCCTTCAAAAAAAGTTTATAATGAACTAAAAACTATTGAAAATAATATCAAACCTTTTTATAATAAATTATCAAATATTTCTTCTAATTATTACACCCCCTCTTTTTATAGAGATACTGATACTCTTATTAAAATAGAAAAAAGTGTAAATAAATTTAAAAAAACTAAGCTAATAGATGAAGATTGTTCTTTTCATGAAGAATTTCCAGCTATATCTTCATTTATTTACGAAGCATATTACTAAGAAGATTCAGTTAGAAATTCTTCTGATAAAAAATTTATAGATATAGCTAACAATTTATTTAATTAAATAGATTGTTATAAATCGCTGGAAATATTTAGTAAAATATTAATCTTATAACAAAAAAAAATGTTATAAGATTAAAAATATAGATCACTATCACAATCACTATCACTATCACTATCAGTACAATAATCCCAAAAACTTTTAATATCTTCTTCATATTTTATTTTAAACTTACTACAAAATAATTCGTAATCATCGTAAATGTTTTTAAAACCAGGATAAGGATCAATAAAAGGTTCATCACCATCATCATAGCAACATTTACAAAAATTAATATATTGTTTAAAATTATGAATTTTTTTTAATCTTAATTAAGTAATCAACATCACTACTTTTAATCTCAAAATTACTAACATCATTAAGGTAACCTAATTTTTGAGCAAACAAAAATTTTTTAATAAATTTTTTTATTTTATCAACTCTATGATTTTGAAATAATCCACGAGTTGCTTCATTTATATTATCAACAAAATACTTAAATTCCTTATTAATACCTCTTCACAGGGTGAAATAAGGTGTTTCCGCAATTCGGAAATGTTGCGGAAACCTGATGGTTCAAAATTCCGTCACGTTTTCGCCGGACGGATACGACGGGAAACTTGTAAGATGAAAATGGAGGCATTGTTTCGTGTTTCCGCAGCGCTTCCGTTGACTTAAACGTGTCAGCGCGTTTCCATTGCGTTTCCGCAAGCGGTTTTGTACTGAAATTTGCTGGTTTTCATGATCAATCCCTGGTTTCTCATATAATAAAATTTGTTTTAACTGTACTGATTACGCTTCAGGCAAGATGAGGAATCATTACGTTGACCTAAAATGTCCGAAAGAACAGAGATAATCGCCTGCGCTAAACTACACGTCGTAAATACTGGAAAAGTGATAGATGATTTCCTCTGTCTTTCTTTTCTAATAGATTCAAAGATGTGTTATTAAAATTATTAACGCTCCAAACATTGAAGCGTAATTTGAAACAATTTAGAAACAGCAAAATAAATTTTCAATGATTTTTTAACCCGCTTGCACGCTTGCACGCATTTTGCCTCGCTCTAGAGGCCTGAGTCTTATGAGCATGCGTGCCTCGCTTTCACGTTGAATTTTGAATCGCGCGCCCTTTTGAACATTCTTCGCTGTCGGTTCGCCTTCCATTTTGGTGGTTTGTACATGCAGGGCCGTTTTTTTTGTGAAGATGAGCGAGGAGACTGTGATAGATTATGGAGATAGACTGCAGGGAGGAATAATAGTTCGAAAAACTATTTAAATGAAACGCCAAATCCCATGGAAGCGGTGACGAAGGAGTTCAGTGTTCACTCTTGGCGACTCGAATGCACACTGAGTGTTTCAACAATCATTGAGAAGAAAGAACGCCTATTTTAAACCGTGGATCCTTGTTGTTTCGTAAGTACATTCTGAATCTTGTTTAAATATATAGAAGCATATTTAAGTCTATGTAATAGCTTTGGGTGTCGATCATAAAAATCGTTTCGCATGTGAGCTTACATAAGCTTACATGTTTCATGCGACAGCGAGTTGCTCCCTACAGATCTGACCTTTGTATGTTGCCTGTAGTTTCTTTGATAACATCTACCCGTAAAGCACGTGTTTGTCTGATTTCTTTTGCAATAAAGACATAGTTGCTGCTTCACCGAAAAAGAACTTTTCTGTATCCTTATACACATTTTAATGGCGAAGATGGCAGCCGTAAAATAATGAATCTCGAATGAGGAAACGGAATCCCGGAACGGAGTACGGAATCAAATATCAATGACAGAAAAATATTTTATAAAAAATTCCTTGACACTGAAATGTACAAAACATTTCCACTCCAATTTCTGAGAATGTAGATGTTTATCACAAGGATAAACCTGTACGAAAATAATATTTAATGTTCATATTAATGTTTTGCATACAATGTGCATTTCCTTACTAGATTTAAAACAACATATACAATTTGCAGGGACCAATAGGAATTGTTCAAAATTGAAATAAATGTAGCACTTGTTACGAGACTTGTAGGGTTAAAAGGAACCTTTTCTCTTTGTGTATGTGCGCAATGACAAGTTTAATATGATGGTGCAGAAAGGTTCTAAAAGTCACAAGATTATAGAGGGATATCATTTCCTTACACTCCAATTTGTCATTAACCTTTGAACACAAGAATAACAGCTTTATTTGATGACTGTTGCAACAGTCACCAGGAGATAAACAAGAATATTGTTCAGGAATATAATTTCCTTACACTTCAATTTGTCGTTGAGCTTCGAACACAAGGAAATATTTAACGGCTTTATTTGATGACAAAGCAACCTTCATTGACACAAGTAAGACACCCATCTTTGAGTGGGGAGTTGCAATTCTATTTATTCATCTTTGAGTGGACAAAGTAGTGCTTGTTTCAATGATATTTCCAATGTTGCAACAGTCACCAGGAGATAAACAGGAATATTATTCAGGAATATAATTTCCTTACACTTCAATTTGTCGTTAAGCTTCGAACACAAGGAAATATGTAATGGCTTTATTTGATGACAAAGCAACCTTCATTGACACAAGTAAGACGCCCATCTTTGAGTGGGGAGTTGCAATTCTATTTATCCATCTTTGAGTGGACAAAGTAGTGCTTGTGTCAATGATATTTCAAATGTTGCAACAGTCACCAGGAGATAAACAGGAATATTATTCAGGAATATAATTTCCTTACACTTTAATTTGTCGTTGAGCTTCGAACACAAGGAAATATGTAACGGCTTTATTTGATGACAAAGCAACCTTCATTGACACAAGTAAGACACCCATCTTTGAGTGGGGAGTTGCAATTCTATTTATCCATCTTTGAGTGGACAAAGTAGTGCTTGTGTCAATGATATTTCCAATGTTGCAACAGTCACCAGGAGATAAACAGGAATATTATTCAGGAATATAATTTCCTTACACTTCAATTTGTCGTTAAGCTTCGAACACAAGGAAATATGTAATGGCTTTATTTGATGACAAAGCAACCTTCATTGACACAAGTAAGACGCCCATCTTTGAGTGGGAAGTTGCAATTCTATTTATCCATCTTTGAGTGGACAAAGTAGTGCTTGTGTCAATGATATTTCAAATGTTGCAACAGTCACCAGGAGATAAACAGGAATATTATTCAGGAATATGATTTCCTTACACTTCAATTCGTCATTAAGCTTCGAACACAAGGAAATATGTAACGGCTTTATTTGATGACAAAGCAACCTTCATTGACACAAGTAAGACGCCCATCTTTGAGTGGGAAGTTGCAATTCTATTAATCCATCTTTGAGTGCACAAAGTAGTGCTTGTGTCAATGATATTTCTAATGTTGCAACAGTCACCAGGAGATAAACAAGAATATTGTTCAGGAATATAATTTCCTTACACTTTAATTTGTCGTTGAGCTTCGAACACAAGGAAATATGTAACGGCTTTATTTGATGACAAAGCAACCTTCATTGACACAAGTAAGACGCCCATCTTTGAGTGGGGAGTTGCAATTCTATTTATCCATCTTTGAGTGGACAAAGTAGTGCTTGTGTCAATGATATTTCCAATGTTGCAACAGTCACCAGGAGATAAACAGGAATATTATTCAGGAATATAATTTCCTTACACTTTAATTTGTCGTTGAGCTTCGAACACAAGGAAATATGTAACGGCTTTATTTGATGACAAAGCAACCTTCATTGACACAAGTAAGGCACCCATCTTTGAGTGGGGAGTTGCAATTCTATTTATCCATCTTTGAGTGCACAAAGTAGTGCTTGTGTCAATGATATTTCCAATGTTGCAACAGTCACCAGGAGATAAACAGGAATATTATTCAGGAATATAATTTCCTTACACTTCAATTTGTCGTTAAGCTTCGAACACAAGGAAATATGTAATGGCTTTATTTGATGAGAAAGCAACCTTCATTGACACAAGTAAGACGCCCATCTTTGAGTGGGGAGTTGCAATTCTATTTATCCATCTTTGAGTGGACAAAGTAGTGCTTGTGTCAATGATATTTCCAATGTTGCAACAGTCACCAGGAGATAAACAAGAATATTATTCAGGAATATAATTTCCTTACACTTCAATTTGTCATTAAGCTTCGAACACAAGGATATATGTAACAGCTTTATGCGATGACAAAGCAACCTTCATTGACTCAAGTAAGATGCCCATCTTTGAGTGGGAAGTAGCAATTCTATTTATCCTTCTTTGAGTGGACAAAATGGTGCTTGTGCCAATGATACTTTCAATTTTTGAAAATGCCACAAGGAGATCAACTAGACGGTTATATAGTGTTTTTATATTGTTACACTTTAATTTTGTATTGTGCGTCAAGCACTTGGATAAGGGCTTTATTCGATGATAAAAGCAACCTTCATTTTTTAAATATTTGTCTTTGTAATGCACTACCAGAACACTGCCTCATTTTAAGCTCTCTAGTTTTTTTTAGAATCAGGCTGTTACAATAATATACATATACATGTAATACATGTATTAGTATTTTGATATAAATATTTGACATTTTCTTTTGGTCTTTATTTCTTTGAGGTATAATGATGCGGAGAACAAAAACATTGAGGGTATTTTGGTTAATGAAGTGAGGGGGAATTTGGGGTAAAAGAAATGGCCCAATACAGAGAAAAAAGGTAAGTTGTACACTTTTCTAAGTTTCTTGAATTTGGTACAGTGAAACCCCGCATTACGGCCACCTCGGTAATACAGTCACCTCGTTATTACAGCCACTTTTTTTGGCAGCCTGGCAAAAACCACCATACATTTTCTTGTAAAAAAAACCCTCATTAATACCGCCACCCCATTAATATGGCAAAAATTTTTTGGCCCATTGATGACCGTATTAACGGGGTTCCACTGTAGTTTCTTGGTGTTGCCGACAAGTGCAATCTCCTAATGACATACATACAAAAGATTCAAAAGCCACTAAATAATACCCACACCAAAAGCAGGAGGAAACCAACAATTCTTTTAGCAACACCAAGAGGCACTCTTAATTCCTTTCCTAGAGACCTGCACATTTAACATGCTTTCCTTTTGCTAGGGGCCATTTTTAAGTACTGGAGTCAGAGAAGTAGCCCCCAGACGTGGTAAGGTGGCAAAATGGAAAACCTGAAGAACACAGAGTTTGGACAAGATGCCAATTTGAGAGCTAAAAAGGTAGGTAAAATACGTGTACATTATTTTGTTAATGCTTGCAGTGCAAATATTTCTAATGTGTAGTTTAAGTCATCCACTTAGTGATTTATTTAGCCTGTCCTGTAACAGAGCTGTGCTTTGGCAGTGCCTGGTGGCCGCTGTTGCATTACTGTTGCTCTTGGGTGACAAGAAGTCTTAGTTTGTTCAAACACATTTATCCTGGGTACCTGGATCTTTCAGGTTAAGGGCACAAGGGTCTTTCATTTTTTAAGGAAATAACACATGTTTTGCATGTTTGTCTTATGCATACATAATTTATGATTGTTATAGAATGCACGAGTGCCACACCCTACCCCCCTTTGACATTTTTAATGTTAACATTGTCCTTCCCATTTATATGCAAGGTTTCATTGTAGTGTAAATTGCTCAGAGTAGAGAGCAAGAACCAAATCTAAAGATTCAAAATAGTCAGGGTGACTATTTTGCCAGACTAAACTGTTGCTGAAGAACAAAGTAAATGTTAATTAAATGTTTATCACAGTAGTCATGCCACTGTGACTAAATATGTTTTTTTGGTGTTCAGAAATTGACGAATCGCACAGACGTGTTGGACAAGGCACACCTTTCTCCGGATGACAAAGCCAAAACAAAGGCTTTATTAGACCTACACAAGGCTATCCAGGAGAGTGAAGACAATGAAGAGGGGGGCAGTGATCCACCACCCAGGTACATCAGGCCACTATGCTCAGAGAGGTCAAAGTTAAGAAACATCAATGCTGTTCTTGACGCCTTTTGTGAAGCTTGCATGTCAAAGAGGCAAAGAAAGAGCAGCTGGGAAAATAACCAGAGAGGTTGATAAATACTTGTCAGACAGACCAGTACCAAATAACTGCCCCTCATGGGCAAGATGCCAATAATACCAAATTAGTGAAATGGCGACAGTGATCACTACTATGGCAACTGGGAGTATAAAGTCCAAAAAGGACGCCGTGTGCATGATGTCCAGAAAATGACCTTTAGCCGAAGCACAAAATGTGATGGCATAGTCGATTCTACATGAGTATAAAATTCTACTTTTCCCCTATTTTTCACTGGTTTAAAACCTATCATATTGTTTTACTCTTAATCAAGAAAGTATTTAACACTTCTAGTTCACTGGGCAGTAATTCAGTCTTCCCTGCGTTTTACTAACAACAAAACCAAATGAGCGAGAAGCCCAGTAGTGACTTTTGGGTGCCACTTGCATAAAGTTGAAATTTGACGGGCAACAGTGACATACTCTCTTCAGGACTCTGATCCACGACCATCATAGTAGAGGTCACTGTAGCAATTTGCTTAAAGTCCCTAATGTATTATTGTGCCTTCTTTAGTCAGGATGACCCTGTGATGATCAGCTTTAACTAAATTGCACAATCTTATTGGAAAGTTGATAAGAGTTTTATTCTTAAAGATAATCTTTACTCGACTGTGTTCATTAAAATTGCTGAAATTCCAGGACAGTCAATGGATTATCCTAAAACTATAAAACAGGGAATGTGAGATAGATGCATTGTGAAAGTGAGTCACTTGTTAAAAGTGCACAGTTTGTCATTATTATTCAAACTCAAATGTAGGCAAATTCTCGAAGACTACTTTGTATGCCACAGCCAGGTCCAAGTTGCAGCCATGCAGTTACAGCAGAGTGGCGACAAAAAGTGAGATACATGTGTAGAGATGTTGGCTTACACATTTGTATATAAAGCCTATGGCTACTTTTGTTTGCATCACTATCGTCTTTGTAGCATCAGTCTGATACTCCCCAGTGATGGCCTCTCAGCAGTTTGTATAGGCTTTAACAATAATTTTTGGGGATGATCCACCAAGTACTGGTACTTGCTATGGTATGATATATTACACAGTCAAACCTCTTTAATACGGACACCAAAGGGACCAAACCAAGTGTCCGCTTTACAGAGGTGTCCGTATTATAGAGGTAGGAATGTATGATTTTTGGCATTTCTGGGACCAAACAAACTATCTGTCTTATAGAAGTGTCCATAAGAAGAGGTTAGACTGTATAATTATTATGTTAATTTAATCATTTCAAGATAAAAAGTTTGAATTTTGTCAACTCTAAAAGGATTATTTAAAAGGCCATTTCCGAGTTCCCCCGGGCCTCTGTTTCAAAACGAGGGTAGGTGCTCAGCCCTTGATATTTAAATCACTTTTCATTCTCATGCAAATAAAACTCATTTTCACAAGAAAGGTTGCGCACCTAGCCTCATTTTGAAAGTGAGGGTTTTTGGAACTCGGAAGTGGCCTGGCCTATTGAAATGGAAAAGTTACAGTTTTGGATATACAAAATAGAAATACATTGTAAGGAGTCTCTTTTTTATTGTGAAAATATTTAATATACATATGTACATATTATATGAAAATGGAGAGAGAATTATTTTAATAAAAACTTTAATACCAAAAATGCACCTAAATATGACTCTTCTTGATTTGTGTGTATCAGCGAAAATGAGTCATTGTGGATGCAAGAAACGGTCCAGGGTTGTCTGACAAACGTCCACTTTTTTATATACCGGATAGAATGAACATATGATTCGAAACTGGATAGTTAAGTAAAGTTAACACATTTAGGAAATGCAGTGAATAATCCACCGAAAGTGGAATCTGGGGAAACATGAAGGCTGCAGAAAGTAAACCGATCAAACTGAGTTTCCATTCATTGTTCCGGGAACTCAACGGATAATTGAGTATCCTCTGAATTTACGAGCTGCGGAAACATGGCGGCAGTTAGCGTTTCCGCAAGAGTAAACCTGACGGAAACGCGAGTATAAGGGATGCGTTTAAGCGTGTCCGCAGAAACTGAAACATGACGGATACACGTGTTTCCCGCAACGGTTAGTTACAATTCCGTCTGCGGATATTCAAGTTTCCGTGAGGTAACCGTTACAAAAACGGAAACGGAAACACCTTTTTTCAACCTGTGTTTATAAAGAGATATTCATTTTTAAATTCCCTTGCATATTCTGGGATTTTATTAGTTTTTTTAATGCAATTCTGGTAATTCGAAGAGTGCTCCAGGATACCCCTTTTACTAACTACTCTAGATCGCGCAAAATTCTGATTTTATCGATTTCGATTTTTTTTTTCTTCTTGTCATGGTGATATCGATTTTATTAAAACTGCATTTTGACAAACTTAAATTCACAGTTAATCACTGGTGAAAATTTTGTAGCGATCGGACAAGGATGAAATCTTTTTTAAGGTGATCGAAAAACATCGATATGGTATCGATGGTATGGTATGGTATCGAAACACCTTAAAAGGTCCTAAAGGATTTGAAGTCGTTCCCTTATAGTCCTAAATGACCTAGCCTGTGAGACGAGACGCCTTTTCAAGGGCAGCCCTGCAAGTGGGGAGTTTGCCCCATCAACTTTCAACTTTAGGACAATTAAAAATTGGGCAACTATTTCGCAAGAAAGATTGAGTCTCCACGTTTATAAGGAAATGATTGGCACATTGACATGGCAGATATTGGAAATCAGTTTGTTCCAGCATCAAATGACAGGCAAAATCACTGTGGAAAATTTGATGTCAATTAAAACTTAGCCTGCAGTGCAGGCGTATTTTGGGCGGGCGAAAGCTCGTTTATAAAAAAACATTCGCGCGCCCGAAGAAAACGCCCGCAATGCAGGCTAATTAAAACTTTCTCAAACCATGTATTGAACACAAACAAGAGCACACAAAGTAAGATAAGAAAAGATCATTCAGTCTTTCTTACTTTGTTGACCACAGTGAAATCGTGGTTTCCCAAATTTTAGCATTCAGATTGCACTAGAATGCATCCTAGAGTACTTAAGAGCGTGTCTCCGTAAAAACCGACCAGTGATTTCGGATCAAAAAATTAATTTCCCTTATATTCTGGGATATTAAAGCCTTCACCTTAGTAGTTACAAAAATACATTTCGTTTGACCGAAAGTGATAAATATATTTTTTTACGAATTTTCGAATTTCCGGACGATTAGCGCTGGCGTCATAGCCTTTCAAACTGCAAAAATCGCTAATATTGACCGCGCTCTAGAAAACGAACAACTCGCTCAAAAAGCCTGATTTTCTTTTCCGTATACAGATACACCACTGTAGATTTCCTAGCCATATCACAGTTCCGAATTATTTGTTTATTTCAACGGCAATGATTTTTTCCCCAGCACGTGTTTTCGGCTTTCCATCAAAACACGAAAGTAGCTCAACTTTGAGGGTAATTTTAAAAGGTGTGGCACCTGTCTGAACTTCGCTATCTGTATGAATACAATCTAGGAATGATAGTAAAACACAAAAAGGAATAACATTTTTGTGCTATCCACGTTTTCAGAAGAGACCGCCGTTTGAATTTCCAGAAATTTCGTAAACTTGATAATTAACGAACACTGGCCTTGTCGATCTGCTTGTCAAGGTCCAACTTCATTTGATGGCGTGATATATCTTATCCAAGTTCTTTCACATTTTAAGGTTATTTCTCAATCATCTGAAACTATATTGGCCGTTGATTCCATGTCCTTTGTCCGTTTAAAGAAGTTATCTGGTTTATAAAATGGCAGCCATCCGCGAGCGTGACTGGTTCGTGACACCGTCCTGAAAGGTCTTTTGCTAAAATTAGTTGGGTGCAATCTTGTTCATTGAGATTATACTCTTCAAGACATCGCAGTGAAATTTGTAGGGCAAATAAAACACGTTCCGTTGCAAATACGACGCGATGAGTCGCTGACAAAGCGTTTTAACCAAGTCTTCTGACAAACTTGAAAAATGCGTGACTTTGTATTTCATCCCCAGTTCTCCTGCATTGGGTGATGACCTGAACAAATACTAGCTCGTTCACTTGTTTATTAACTTCTTAGGTTGTAATGTCCCTCTTGGTTTTTGTAGAGGATATTTTGCTCCTGAAGTAGCCGCTTTAACTCTAAAAACATCGAATTTTTTTGTTTTAAACCTGTCCTTCAACGGCATCTTTTATCTAGTTTGTATAAAAGTAATAGAGCTAACAGAGGGCGTCATCAGTTGCGAGCGTGACACGGTTGTTTCGTAACATTTTCTGTAAAGTTCGATGTAATTAACATTGAATCGCCATACTTCGATACATTTTCTTCTTCAGCTTAACATAAACGCACTGACAAAAATGGTTCAACACATTTCAGCTAAGAGAATTGAGAAACCATGGCCACGCTACTACAGTTTCCACGTCCTTCCCAGGACCCCACGCTGCGCGGAAATTCAGTGAACTGGACCCTGGCATTCACATTCCGTGCTGTTCTCATATCCTTTTCAAACTGTACAGCGTCCGCCTTGCGGCCAGTTCGCTCACCAATTTCAAACTTGGCTGTAAGATATTCTTTAACCTCACGAGAAAACCGGATGGAACCTGCGTGGGCCTTGCTTAGTGCCCATCCCATCTGCAGGGTTTCTACCCCTGGGGGCACTGCCACATATGGGCTATATAGGTATGTGCCGCTGTGAAGGGTATGGTTTTCAAGCAGTTTACTCTAGGATAGGGTATATAAATCAGAGCGTTTGGGTCTAGAATAGGGTATCATTTTTCAGGAAACTGATCAGTTGGGTGAAGATTTTATCTAGATTAGGGAAACAGCTACTCTAGGATAGAGGGGATTTGGGGAGTTTACTCTAGTATAGGGTAGCAAAATGCAGCTGAAGTAGCTCTAGTATAGGTTAAGGGTTCCAGGGTCCCAGCGGCACATCCCCACCCAGAAATTCCTAAAGTACCCCCCCCCCCGGGGGTTTCTACGTCAGTTGATGATTCGGACGCCAACATAAATGGTGTAGATTTTTTCACAGCCACATCCACTGATGTA